TACTTCTTTACAGTGAACCACTGGAAAAGGTCCGCAATGAACGTTTGGAGAGGATCATGCTCACGTCTGATTTCAGTGACCTGAGGGGTGCTCCAGAAATGGTGTTTAAACTCCAGGCCCGCATTCGACAACTAGAGGAGATCAAAGAGCATTTCCAAATCCATGCCAAGTATTTGGACAAGCAGGGCTGGGAAGATCGCTTGGTCCTCGAGAAAGACCTTACTCAATGCGAGGACGAGCTGTTCTTCTTGATGAAAGCCATTACTAGCTCTCAGAGAAAGATCGATCCGACCATGTCAAAAGCGAACGGAGTCCTCCGCTGGAATATCTCGGCCAGTGAGGTTGTGTGGCATTTGATGAAGGATCAGTCCGAACCACTAGTTGAATTCCAGCTGAGGAATGCTGCTTATGATCGCACCGACAACAGTGACGGTTCAAACCATAATGAAGTTGCAGTCGAACGACTGTATGGCTTGAACCTGCTCCCAGATGCGATTTATCCCCAGATCATCGTTCCTTACCTTGACCAAGCTCGCAGTCTCGACGGACCTGATGATTATATGATCAAGGTCAAGTGGCACATGCTTGAGGCAGTTGCCGGCATACCAGTGGTGGACGATTTTGAGGTGTCTCTTTTCCCTCTGAAGGTCCAATTGGAGCAGGTCCTCGGCCAGAAGGTTTTCGAGTACATGTTTCCTAATGTTGGGTCGACTGCTTTCGAAAATGGCGGGTTTTCACCCTTCATGATCAAGAACATGAAGCCGATTGATGGTTCATCTGATTCTGAGGAGGAGGAACGCCCAAAGACATCCTCTGGACATGAGCAGAGTGATATGTCGGCAGACGATTTGTCTTTGAAGGGATCTGGAGCCATCGAGTTAAGACTTCAGCCCACGCTTTCTCTGGCGGAGGAGGCCAGGCCTCGATCACAGCATCGCCATCTCAAGGGCCTTGCACTGACTCCCATCCACAAGGATAAAGATCCAAACCTCTTAATGCGCCCGTCGACAAGCGGGGCGCTGAGCAAGAAGAGATCGGTCGACAGCCTACGCATGTTGTCAAGACAACCCACGGAGAGGTCGCTAGCTAACACCCCCGGAACGAATTCCACCGGCGACGAAAAGTCAAAGAAATTCGCTCTTGGGAGACCCAGCAAAGGCAAGGCCAAGGAAACTCCGGATGACCTGGCTCAGATGATGTCACGCGCATCAAACTATATGACGTTGGCTCATGTCAAGGTGCACGACGTGGTGCTCTGCCTCAGTTACAAAGGCAAGGGTGATCACAACCTGGAGGATCTCCATGACTTCGTCTTCCGATTGCCGGTGCTCGAGTATCAGAACAAGACATGGTCGAATCTGGATCTGGCTCTACGCCTCAAGAAGGACGTTATCAAGGCTCTTATCTCGCATGCACCTGCAATTCTTGGCAACAAGTTCTCCCATCATCGTCCTTCCAAACAGCAGCAGCAACAGCAGAAGCGGTATCGCGAGCTTGTAAGCTCATCCCAGCTTCTACATAACTCAGACAGTGTAGCGCAATCAACGTCTGAGAAAGCTAGTAGCCTGGCCAGCGTCGACTCGAACAGCGAATACTCAGAGTCACAGCGCTCCGGACACTCGGGGACTTTGCCGCTTGCGCGGTCAAACTCACTCGGATCTAGCATGCTTAGCATCAACGAACCGAGTGGAGTGATTTCTGATTCTCGGTCGGCGAGCGAGGTTGATGTGGATGCTCGTTGGGAAGTATGTACTGCCTAAAGTTAATAAATATTGGGAAACCTTGCTAACTGGTTATGTAGCAATCTCGCCGGCTTGTCAATCCTCCCAGTAGACCGATGACTTCGGGACAAGCTCTGCCTCGATCTCAAACCACCAAGCTCTGGGATGGACCGGAAGAAAGGTAAGCTTATATGACTTGCATGGATCACATCTTTGAACGAAACTTATTCTTTTGTAGTAGTTCCGGCAACAAGACTGCATCAATTCGCAACTTTGGCCGCAAATTAATGCCTTCTCGGAAATAGTCTCCCTGCTTCACAGCGAAAGGCATTTGTTCGAACATCGCACCCCTTTCAGGATCTCTTTTTTCATAATAATCCTGTTCTCCTCATTAAGACCTCGCTTGTTACACATTCCCGACCTTGCATTTGCTATATGATACCCCCCAATGCAGTGGGTCGTATATAGGCGTCGGCACATCGGGTATGCTTTTCCCGCCATGGAGTCCGTTCATATTACCAGGAGTTTGTCTGGGGATCTTTGTTGTTGCTTCCCGCCCCCTGATTTTGCCATCCATCCTTATTGATTCCCTCCCCCCGTACAAAACCTTTATTGACCCTAATCTCTTCTCTCTTCGAAAATATCTTTCTGCATGTACCACTTCTTGTCCTTGTTCTTCTTTCGTTGTTCTTCAGAGCCTAGACGCTGAATCGCAAGTATATATCCTTTGCATGTGCAGGGTATGTTTACGGCCGTCTACGGAGTTGCATTCGTGGGTGATGCGCGATACGAGCGCATTGAACATATGGGGTGTGGTATGGTTCTGTGGGTATATATCAGGATAGACGGTGCAATAAAAAGGTGCTCTGGGTCAATACTATTTGTTTCTGCCATGCCATACAGCTTTTCATGAGAAGCGATGTTCAGAAATCTCCGTGCCCCACGACGGGTTGGAGAGTTAGCACTGCGTTCCGCTGAGGAAATTGTGTAGCAAGTAGCTCTTAGGCCGGCCACTTGATCTATTCGATGCAACGATAGACTACCTATCTAGCTACCTACCTATATCCTCCACCCCAACCATCTCCAACGCTCCCTCACACAACCCCTGAAGCTGCCTCCACCTCCCCACCAACATCTCAAGTCTGCGCCGCTCCCACTCCAGAGACCGCACCCCCACGTCCACGGCGGTCGAGGACGGCACAATAGACACAGTACTCCCATCACTCTTCCCTTCTACACTAGCCCCGTCCCCCACGCAGTTCCGGAGGCCATCATCCAACATCGCCTCAATCCGCGCAATCACCGCCTCGCATTCCCCGCGATACACCTCAATCCACCCCCGAATCACCTCCGTGCACTTCTCGCCGGAAAACCCCCGCCGCGAGCGGCCGGTGATCCACAGTTTCCAGTCGCGGCGGGTCATGGATTTCAGGGCGGCTGCTGCTTGGATGTTTTTGGGGATGGTGGGTTCATCGGTTGGGGGCAGTGTGAGTTCGAAGTTTCTGGGGTGGATGGTTAGCCTTTCCTTTCTTTTTATTTGTGTTTTGTTTACGGTTTTTTCTTTTGTTTTTGTTTTTCTTTTTTTTTTTTTTCACACTGAAGAAGGGGATAGGGTGGGGGGTAGTGTAGGGTGTTTAGGTGGAGGGCGGTCTTACCCGAACAAATCCTGCCCGATAAGGTCTTTCTTCTGCTCGATGGTGAGGTCTTGGAAGATGATATCGTCGAGGTAAATGCTATCTGAGGGGTTGGTGGGGAGGAAGAAGCCGTCTTTTGCTTGCTTGTTAGATTATGTTTGTTTGGGGCTTGGGGCTTGGGCTAGGGGCTCGGGAGAGGGGCATACATTCGACGAAGAGGAAGTCGTTGGAGTGGGAGCCATAGCTCATGAAGATTTCTTCGCCCTGGTCTGTGGTTCACGGGTTTGTTGTTAGATTGATAGGTCTCTTGTGGTGGTGAAGGTGTTCGTGTGTTTGGGGTTGCGTACCGTATTGTCGGGTTGCTTTGAATAGGTAGTTCTGGCCGGTCCAGATGACTTCGCATGCCTTGTTTGCGAAAGAGTGTTAGATATCTGGTTGGCGTAGGGGTATGGGTAGGGGTTGGGATTGGCTAGGTGAGTGCGTAGGGGCTGGCTGGCTGGCTGGTTGGCTTGCTTGCTTACCGCATCGTCGTCGTGGTTGAAGTAATCCGCAAACGGGACCATGGCGATGGCATCGTTCCAGTCCTCCGGCTCCTCTTTTCCCGGCGAGACATAGTAAAAGCTCCGCGAGTTGATGACGGACCAGTAGTAGGCGAACGTGCTCCACTCGATTTCTGGGTATACTTTGCGCACATGTGCCCATGCTGCCTGTAGCCGGTTCTCCTGCTGGGCCAGCAGGTTCTGGTATCTGGTTTCGTAGTCCACGCCTACTGGTTCTTGCTGGAAGCTATTCCAGAGTCCGGAGATTGAGGGGGGTAGAAGGCTTGGTGGTGCTGTTGACGATGAAGTCTCGCTGCTGCTGTCGCTTGTGGCCTTCTCGAAGGCGGAATTGGACCGGCGGAGATGCTCTGGCCAGAGCACGGGCATGGTGTCCTCGAACTCGCGGAAGTTAGGCCATACCTTGCGCCAGGGTTCCAGCTCCTGGAGTAAAGAGGCGTCTCCGTGGCTGAGAAATGCAGCGAGAATGCAATGGATGGAGGCCCCTGAGGGGAATTGCTCCACGAATGATGCGGGGATGGAGTCGATGGTCAGCATTGCTGATACGGGCACGCTGAGCATGGTCTCATTCTCCTGCAGCTGCATTAGCATATATAGCAGACAGTGGGTATGGATCATCTATCATGGAGGTCTTTAGGGTATGGGGTATAATACACACTTCTATCGTCCGCGTCGCTTTCATGCCCAGGCGTCGGCCGGGGAATCGCGCTGGAGTGATGCCGTTGATCGTCACGCCTTGGGACTTGGCCCATTGCATGAACGCAACATGTTCCTGGCCGGGGGACTCGTCCGTTGCCATCGTCAGCTGTCTTCTAGCCACTTTTTCCGCTGTGTATGTTGAATTGAACCCAAACAAGACATTGCGTGGATGCTTGTAGTTCTTCACGGCGCGATTAGGTAAGCGGGATATAAGGGCATTCCTGCCTGAGGCCAGCGGTGCTCCGCGGACCTGCCTGTGCAGATTCGCCATCCGCCTCGAATCCAAGGCTTCTTGCGCGCGACCTTTTTGTCTTGTGGTCGACATTGCGAAACACCATTCCCCCGCTCCCATTCACACCTCCCACCCCTCCCCTCAAAGCGAATTCAAGATGTCCGACCCAGCCACCAGCCCGGCCACCCCGCCGGACGCAAAGATCGACCACGCGGCCTCCCTCCGCTACTGGAACAGCGTGCCCGCCAACGCGAACGTGATGCTCGGCATGCTCGGCCAATACCCGTGGTACACGCGGATCGACCTGCGCGGGTCGAAGACTTTTTTGAATAAAGTCCGCCGCATGATCCCCGACTCCCCGACGGAGGGCAAACTGGCGCGCGGGGTCGACTGCGGCGCGGGCGTCGGCCGCGTCACCGAGGGCCTCCTTGCCCACGTCTGCACCACCGTCGACGCCGTCGAGCCCGTCGACAAGTTCATGCAGATCATCCGCGACTCGGCGCTCAAGCGCGACGGCGTCGTCGGCGACATCTACACCCTTGGCCTGGAGGACTGGCACCCCGACAAGCGGTACGATCTCATCTGGACGCAGTTCTGCGTGGGCCACCTCACGGATAAGCAGCTGGCGGAGTACTTTGTTCGGTGTCGCGAGGCGCTGACGGAGACGGGCGTGCTGGTCGTCAAGGAGAATCAGTCGACGGATCCCCGCGGCGAGGATATGTTTGATGAGGAGGATAGTAGCGTGACGCGCACGGATGAGAAGTTCCGGGCGCTGTTCAAGGAGAGTGGGCTCGTGGTGGTGGCGTCCGAGTTGCAGTTGGGGTTTCCGAGGAATTTTCGCCTGTTGCCGGTCAGGTTCTATGCGTTGAGGCCTGTTTGAGGTTGAATCATCCTGGAAGGGTATGAGAGGAGATTGCACAGGGTTGGATGATACGGAGAGCATTGAGATGGATTCTCGGCTTGAAGGGGAGCTGGGATGGCTATAGCTGACTGGGTAGAGACGGCAATTGTCGACATTAGCCGATTTGGTCCCAGGTATCTGCATCTGGCGGAGCGATGATGCTATGGCCATTTGAGCCTGCCATGATGGTCGTCGTGTCGACTACATCTGCGCTCTAGCGGCACATGGCATCCCCGCCACGGCACCTCTCGAATATGCCACGATATATGAGACTCGATCTATGTGTGCATGTTTCTAAGGAAGGAATGACGATGGCACGAGTGCAACGAAGGACGAACCAACCAGAACCGAGAGGATGGGTTGTTTGCTGCTGGCGGCAAAGTATACAATCTTGGTATTATGATTCCATTATTTAAAAGCAAATGTCCCAAGCCGAGAATAATAAGTCTAGGTATACGAACACAAGGAGCAACTATCAACAAGTCGCTTTGAAGCAAAAGGCCTGGGTATCTTTATGTACAGTAACATGTCGGCGCAGCCGTCGTAAATCTCATCATGAATATTTTTTCGTGATCTTCGTGTTTGTTGTGCAGTTGTTGGTTTGTCGTGGGCTTCAATAGTCCCGCACCTCAGCTCGTCTTGATTATGCTCAGGGTTGTCGAAATCGGATAGAAAAACACCATTGCAATGTATCGAAGCAAATGTTGTTATATCCAGGTAAACCGAGAAGTATCGCAACCCTGCAAGATGACTCAGGATTGAGTGGATGGAGCGGATGGACTAGATGGCGCAGATTGCTTTTCGCGGCCCCAAGTGAAGATATTCGGCAGTCGATCATGAACACTCTCAAGTCGCGTCCGAGCGGAGGGCGCATTCGGGTCGTCGGTATATGCAATGCCTCCTTCACCGTGGTTTGCACCCCATGATTGTCTTTCGCGTCGAAGATCACTCTGAACCCATGGGATAGTGATCAAAGTCCAGACTCCCGCCCAGGCGAATGGAAGCGTCCAGCCCAGCTTAGAGAGGCTCATTAGTCATGATAGTCATTATATTGGGGAGTGGACGGACTTACAGTATAGGCAACCGGCTCTTCCACAGTAAATATGATCGCGGTGATAGCAGCAGCGCATACGATGGATCCTCCGGTCCAGAAACAGTTCATCTGGAACAGCATACGGCGGAAATATGGGCTTGAGAGGTACCGCGTCCGAAGGGCATATCGATAAATCTGACCGCCACCTCCATCCACGGCAACCACATCTTCAATGAGCACATACAAGGCGGTGGGCATTGTTGAGCCTTTGGGTGTGGAGGAGATTCGGAAGGGTGCTTTCACACCACATGCGCGCAGGATGTCAAGGGTGAGGTAGACACCACCAAAGTAGAACATGACGGTTGGGAGGACCATTGCAACGAGACGCACTATACATTCACCGATGTTAGCCAGAGTCGGAAGCACGGCGAACTAAGATCAACTTACCGTATGGCTCTGCCGGTACAGTTCCTCTGAGAGAAGTTAGTTGTATTCCAGTAGCCTTGCCGACTATGCCACTTACACAATCAATTCAATTGCGAGGATCAACCAAACAATAGTAAAGTTGATGTGGAAGAAGTCCAGCTGCATGAGAGTCAGTTTAACCCATGGCGTTGGCAAGCAAGTAACATACCCATCCTTTCGGTGCGTTCAATGGTCGAGCGCGAGAATCTTTGCGAAAGAGGTTGTACAAACGATAAAAGTATTCAAAGACCGAGATACCTCCCAAGGACGCAGTCACAATACTGAAGACTGCACGGCAAAATAAATCAGTAAAGGTCGGAAGGGTCGGGAGTGCGCAGGGGGGCTGATAAACATACCGACGTTGTGAGAGAGGTCGGTGAGGTACCATAGACACCAGTATAGGATGAGCGGTTGAGCCATTGTGTCGATGATGAAGAGAATCCAGAAAAACGCGATCGACTTCTTCCTTGTGCGCAAAGAGTAAGGGAGCTGTGGAGGCTCTGAGGGCGCCGTTCCGGCGGTTGCTTCTGTATCATCCATGATGGGTGGCTAGAAGCGGCACGTAGTAGTCGGCTCGATCTGTCAATCAGTTGTTCTGTGATGTGATGGGTGTCTAGATTGATAAAGTAGCTTCCGAGACAATGCAAGGCATGGTGGGGTGGAAAAGGAGGATAAAAGTAGTCAGTGTAGAAGAGCAGGTATCTCGCGAATCAAATGGGATGAGAGTAGAATTACTAGACTATATGAGAGATTCGAAAGGAGGCTGTGTTCAAAGGCGAAAAAGACCCCGGAAACGACGGCTTAAGGAAATTGTTTTTCCCCCTGCCCATTGAATTCGGCGAACCGAATGGCTTTTTTGGCTGGCCGCGATGCCTGACGTAACCCGGTCGCGGTGATGTCATCCGCCCGTTCCGTCACTCTTGGTTTTTTGCTTGTTCCTTCATTCCTCCACCAAACATCAACAGCATAAACAACCCAAACACTGCATATCCTTCAGCTCTAGACTTGGCTGATGTTATAAGAGCCACTGTTGTCTCACTTTAATGAGATTATGTCTGGGAGGGTGCTGGGATCCAGGTTCCATCCCAAAATGTCATCCCAGCGGTTCACCTGGTCTGACCCGCCCACCACTGCTGGAATACGAGATTTGCCTCCCACGCTTACCGCTGGATATTATCCGTTCTACTATAGCTCTCGTCAAAGGATTTAAGATAGGGATACGGGGTACTATGTGCACAATCCATCTCTTGGATTCTCTAATGCTCCGAGGTTCAAGCGACAGGATTAGGTATGTCTTTGATCATTAATGCCAGCTCCACTTGGACCCTGGCCCGACCGGATGATCAGCAACCGATCGTCGGAATGCATGAAGTCATGCACAATTTTACCGGGCTGAGTAATTGTGCACTATGCAACTACTATACAAAAAGTGATAGCCGTCCTCCCAACCTTGTCATCACATGGAGCAATGGTGTCCTGGGCCCCTACCCGCAGAGAGAAGGCGGGAGCCGGGACACGGCTAATCACGACTTCGGACCGTACTGGAAGTGCATGGAGAATGAGGGGATGTCGCTCGGCTTCAAGAATACGGTGTCGGCTACCTACATAGGATCCAACAACCAAATATCATGCTGGCGCGTCGCAGCCAAACGGTTGTCTCACAGGGATTGGGAATCGTTTTGCGCACGGCAACATCCTGACGGCGGATATGTGCTCCTGGTCAAGTACGGGAGCGGCTTTGTACCGATGAGAAATGGAGGAAAGGGTGGTACAGAGTTGGTGCTGCACAATGGCCAGAAGGATGGAACGAGATGGCAGTTCATCCGAGTTGACTACCCTTGAGTTAACTCGGACAATTATGCCGATGTTATAAGGCCGAGAGAAGTGAGGGCAAAGAGGGACCTGGGAAGATACAAATAGTGAACTACCGAGCTGAATCAAAAATGAGAATTTACTTTCAAGATGTCTCTTGCTTCATTCAATGATGTGAATTACCTGGAGGGAATAGCCAATGAACGACTCCATCCCAAGCTATGTAGCACCACTCACGTGACAATGACATCCCTGTCACGTGGGTGGATGCCCCCAGCAATTCGGCCTCAACTTCCACCTTTTCCTCCACGACGCCGGTTCGATTCGCGCTTTGGCCTCGACCATTTTCTTTCTCGTTCAATAAAATCTCCGTTGTCCAGGCAATGACCTGAAATCGATATCCGCTGCAGGTGATTTTTCCAAATCGAGATTGAGCAGTGCAAGGCAATGATTATGGGGACAAAATGGCCCCAAGTCTTCGGGACCTGATTGATTTTCTGCTTGCAGAGATTGCTCTCTGCGGCGACCAAGGTTGGTTCCCTGTCAATCTCTTTTGCTTGGATGAAGTGAAGGTGGTGATGATGCTCCACCACCACCACCACCACCACCACTACTAAAACTCAACACACTTCCCCTGCACCTCGCATGCATCTCATTGGATCAAACTACTTCCTTCTACCAGTTGTTCCTACTTACGCCTGCAATTCTATTTCGACACTTACACCGCGTACTTACAATGATAAAATTAGACTAATGCCTTCTAGGTGCATCGCCATCGGATATACTAAAGTTCATCGATACATTCTATGCCAGATTCGCACAGGATGCTCCTGACCGCAGCCACACCGTGGACAGACGCTTCAAGGAGAAAGTCTGGTCCTGGCTGACCAAGAACCCCGAAATTTCGGTGGGTCACAACAGGGAAGGCAACCATCTTCGCCTGCAAGATGTCGCCGGATTCTCTCGTGGTGAGTCTTCCACCGAGGCGCACACTCCCACTTTGTCGTCGGGGCCTGTTCGCGTGTTCGTCTCGAAGGAACGAACTTGGCTAGCAGTCACCGGCCATGAGCCGGATGAGACCAAAGTCTTGCCCACCGAGTTCGCTCTTCTCTCAATTATTGCCTCGCGTAAGCATAATGGCATCGTGCAGACAGATCTGGTCAAGGCCAGTGGTCAGGACAAGCGGTCGGTACCAAAGCGAACCGACGCTCTGCATCAAAAAGGCTACATTGAGAAACGGGCCATTCAGATCAAGGCTGCTCGGACAAGTCTTTGCACCCTTCGCCGGTTTCTGACATCAGAGCATGCACCTCAGTCCGATCAAGACTCTGAGCCGTCGGGTGTGAAGCCCAAGATGATCGACTTCAATGAGTTTAATGGGAAGCTGTTCGACATTCTGAGGGAATACAGGCTTATCTCTCGGAATGATCTCAAAGCAAAGCTCGGATTTATAGATCATTGGCACTGGCGAATCCTATCCCGGGCGCTTCGCAAGTTCGAGCGCATCGGGGTCTTGAAGCGTGTGAAAGCCTTGTCTCAGTATGCGCACACACTGAAAAAATTCCATCCATGTGTCATGCTCATCCGGGAACCTACGGAGAAAGACATGGAATTGTTCCATGAATTCAGTCGAAACATCTTGGCCAATTTAGACCAGGAAGACAACGTCGAACTGGAAGACGAAATGGACCAGGAAGATCCGACCCGAGGATCGCAAGGCCCCCCGAATACCACTTTGGTGAAACGGGAGCAAGAGGTGGAAGACGCCGGTCGCATTCTCCCTTCTTGGAGCCCAGACCGCAACATCCATAATCTAATCTTCGAGACGATCGATAATGCGGGGACTGCGGGCCTCACCAACCAAGTAAGTCAAACCCAGGAAGCAAGGTACCTGAAAACTCACTAATACCATGAAAAGGGGATTATCAGGAACTGTTTCGGGTACTACTACCGCAGACCGCTAGAAAACGCAATCAGTCGACTTACAGATTGCTGGCAGCTGTCCCAGCCACTACACTTGCGCCATCTGGCTATAGTGCGGGACACGGCACTTGAACGAACCATTACACACTACGTTCATTACACCGCATTAAGTTTCCAGGCACTAGTCAACGCAGGGGATGCGCTCTGGGAGGCGGTCGAATTCCGTCCAAAGGATGCCAAGGACGATAAGATCCGACCGCCCCCTGTAAACGCCATGCCTCAGCTGGATCAATATGCATTACCCCTAGACCGTCCGGGAAAGGAGGTGCTAAAGGGCGGCGATGCTTCCCTCCTGGAATGTATTCTCGTGGCTAAGCCGCCAAACTATAATTGCTCGAGCCGTGACCCTGTGGCAGTACGGCAATTGGATGGAAGCTATACAATCGAGCAGCGACTCAAGGGCGCTGCTGGCGTCGGGGCCAGCCCGCTACGCCCCAGGTCTACACCAGTTACTGTCAAAAAAGAATACGCCGATGTCTCTGGTGATGAGATAGTCGAGCTGAAGCCTGCTAGACCACGTCTCAAGAAGCATGATCCAGAGCGATACAAAGGCATGTCCGAGAAGGAAAAGCTGGAAGCGATGGGCTACGATGAGACATGGACAGATTACAGCGTCTTGCTCATAGAACGACTAGAACCCGGCGTATACGTTACTCCGCGTGGCCGACGAAGGGCGGCTGGCAATCGACAGGGACGTCCTCGTGCTAGCAGGATAGCTGTGTTCAAGTCTCCGAGACTGTCATCTTTATCATGGTTCCGGAAAGATCCTCTCGACTTGGACGCTGATACGGCGGTTCAATCCGAAGTAACGCCCCAATCACCGCGTCCGGTTGAAACGTCTGAGCCCACGGTAGCTGAATCTGGCACGGCACTCGGCTCTCCAAAGCCTTCTACAGCTAATCAGGCTAGAGGAAGTAAGCGAAGCCGACAGCAGCGTGATTCAGATGCGACACCCGAATCAAGAATTGGCAGCGCACGGAAGCAAAAGCGAGTCAACGTTGGAACCTCCGAAATTGGTGCATTGTCTGTCGATGCGAACAGTACCAGCCTCTCGGTTCACACCGAAGGAGAAAAGAGCCCTGACAGTCAAATGAGCCCTGTCACAACAAATCAGCGCACGAAACGAAAGCGAGCCGTGTCTCCGAAAGATGGAGACCACGCGATGACCGATCCTGCTGAAACCTCCAAGAGTGATACTATCGTTGCGACACGGCGTTCCCCGCGCAAGAGTAATTCCGGGACAAGTGCAAGCGAAGTTAGTCCGTTGCCAAAGAAACCCCGTGCAAATAATACCCTGCGGAAATGGCTTGCAACTTCGCAAATACCAAAACGTACAACTGAGAATCACGCAGGTGCTGAGCAGGCACCAGACTCTCATACGACCTCCCAGGGTACTGAGAAGACAAAGAGTGATGAAATGGATACTTCTACCCACTCCAATACGGCAAGCACTACAAACGCGGATGTACAGCCAATTGCCGATCAAGTTGAAGTCCCTTTGCCTTCGGTAGTTCAAGTTGCGCCGGAGGCAGAACAGGTGGAAACCCCAACGCAGCAATCAAAGGACAGTGACCGAAAACCCAGAGCAGGGAAAGGAGGATCCGTCGCCGTACTTCGCCGGCAAATTGTTATGGATATCATCGACCAGGCTGGAGGAGCTTACCCAATGGGTACAGAACTTTGGTACCCATTTATGACTGCATGGCAAAGGACTCGCTACAAGGAGATTCCAGATCTCCGTACGGTTAGAACAGTTGTGAAGGGACTGGTTGATGCTGGCAAGCTGAGCCAGTTAACGTTCAGTGGCCGGGACAACAAAGGTGTCATGGTGACAAAGAACATTGTCTATAAAGTGGAGATGCAGGCCGATGATCCTTTGATTGAAGATCTACAAAAGAAGATGCTGGCGGCAGACCGGTATTACTTTCCTCCAAATGTTGATATCGATCCCGAGATCAAGAAAAACGGCAGCAAACGTAAGAAAATGGAAGGAAAGGAAGGCCGGCACACAAGTCACTTTCCCTTACTGCCTGACGAGCTTACAGTGCAACTGCATAAAAAGCCCGCGTCTGTCGTTGCGATAGAGAAAAGGCGAGATATGGCCATGCGGAGGGAACTGCTCGAACAACTGGCTATGGAGGAAGACTTCGATCCATTTAGCGGCTCAGAGATTGTTCGTCTCATGACATTCCGACGCCGGGCAGGAAAGAACGGGGCTCAGGGATTGACCTCCATCACCAGACCATATCCGCTGAGGATGACCAAGGAGGAGCGACAGCTGCACAGACGTCATGCATTAGCCGGGTTGGCCTCGATCCGCAAAATGCGACGCCTTTGGTCATCGCTTGCTCCGTACTCGATGCTTATGAACACCAGATCAACCTTCATACCCACTACCGGAACGTTTTCGACCGAAGCTGGTATTCCGGCACTCCAGGCCGCGAAAGACCGTGCCAGAGCAGCAGCAAGAAAGCATGTACTCATCCCTGCAACTGAGCTACCGCACTCCCTGGAAGACATCCTTAAGTCTCAGAGGCACAGTTACGACTACTCTACAAGTGATGACCCGCGCGCACGCCAGTTCTTTCACGAAACCAATACCATTTCTCGGTGGGAGATTGAGAATGAGGATTTACTTGCGCGCAAGAGCTCCGAAATCACATTCATCAATCAAACGGTACCGAACCTGGAAAGCTCCGGAATTGAAAGTGGTATTCGGTTTGATTTTGATGAGAGCTTCGGGGATATTATCACACCGCGACTGTCCGTGATTACTCGTCAGCGACGCCGACGGTCAGAAGCCGCTTCAATGGCACCCCAAAACCGCCGAATAGCCAAGTGGGATGAGTCCATGGCCGGCGATGAGAATAAAGCCCTCATGTCAAGTCAGCAGCTCAACAACCGGAATACGATTTCGAAGAGAAACCGGGCACCCTTGGCCCCCGAGATGGTTCGAAGAATCATGGTGGCATTTGCCGTTGTTCGAAGCCTGGCGGGAGGGTCGGATGCACGTCAGATCGACTGGACTCTTTTGTTCCATTGCTTTCCTGACATGGACCAGGATATTGTGGCTGAGAGAAGCCGTCTCGTTCTCAACAAATGCCGCTTGCAGATCGTCAAGATGCAGAGTGACTTTCACGAGAGGTTTCTTGATGCTTATGCCAAAGATGAAGTGCCCCGCATTGACTACGATGATCTATATGGATACGACTGGGAGGGAGTAGTCGATTGGGCGATGCATCATCTGGAACTGCCCAAGTCTGAGAAATTACCTGATCTACCCGCTACGAGAGAGCAGCTGGATAGCATGTTCGATGTGCGAGAAGAGCCAACCAATCCTTTGGACGAATTCTACCATGTAAGTCAGTCCATCACTGTTAGCCGCAAGCGCGCCTTAGCTGCCGCTGTTCCGTTTGCCATGCCCTTGAGCAACAAGGTGGCTCGGGCTCAGCCCCGGAAGGCCGAACTGGCCCGTCTGGAGGTAGCCAAGACGTGGGTTCGAGCCAATGTCGTAACCCCAGATGAGACCTACCGTCCGGTGGAGGCACGGCAAAGCCTAGAACGATTTGGAGAGCCCTTGGTCCACCAGGCGCTGCAGTCGCTGGTTACAGAACGCGCTCTTAACATGGGCAATCGGGGTCGCATTACTCCAGGACGCAACTACGATGTCACAGAGTATTTCTTACTCGCCATCAGCAAGAAGCGAGCCATTGAGAGTGTTCAGCTGCGCCGCGCCCATAAATTCAAGACGGAGGTCTTGGATCCCGCCTTTCAAGACCAGGGACACGCTGAGATCGACTGGAATGCGGACGACGGCGACATGCTCGTGGCTATCAACCTACTCTGGGCAGGTCGCGTGCTCCTAAAACCGCGCGACCCACCTCGCGACAAGTACGGTCTGACGGAGGGTGGGTATCTGACTCGACAGATGGACAAGACGAAGCTTCGGTTTACGGTTGAGATCTGGCCGACGGATACCTATGTTTATGGGAACCCCGTGCAGGAAAAGGCCAGTGCTTTGAAACCACCGCGTTTGCCTGAGGAGATTGATCTCGCGACGTCACTCCCCGCGAAGGTTCCACTGTGGTATGATATCCATGGCGACTTCGTGCGAGTTCTGTGGGATTTGGCCGTGGCATCAGTGGTGAGCTGTGTGGCGCAGAGGCCTGGAATCAGCGCCTCTAGCATTGCTGGGATGTTGAAGCCGACGATGGGAGGATGGGAGGTGCAGCTCTTATTAGAATATATGAAGGAGATTGGGGCTATGAAGTTGGACTGGACGAGAACGGACAAAGCGCATGATGAGGATGAGCCAGGCTGGCGGGTGGACGAGTGGTGGTATATGGTGTTGGCTTGATTTAGGGGAAAGATCTAGGCTGTAACTATAGGGCGTTATCTTGGTCTTGGAAGAGGAACCTTACTGCCTTCTCTCGTGTGTTACCGTGTCTTTTGTCCTGTTCCATGTATAACTATTCCGAGCCATTTTTGTTGAAACAGCAACCAGTCTGTCACAATGACCAAATCTGGATTTCTTCAGAACTCTGGGACCTTTGTCAGAACTTCGCAACAGTAACAGCAGCATCACAACAAACAGTAGTCGGCAAACCAGCCATGCTCATCTGCTCGCTCATTCACTCGACATCAGAGAGCCCCCCCCCCAACAAACGCGACTACGCCTCACCTCAGAAGTGCCATGATCCCCCTCTTTCTTCTTGGATTTTTCACCCTCGTCATCATCCTCACCCTTTCACTTTACTATCTCCCTTTCACGTTTCCTTCTTCAACCCAGACAACCCCCTCACCACCACACTCCCCACAACTCCAACACCACCACCACCACCACCCGAACCCAACAACCACCACACTCCCTGCAAAACGAGAACCAGAACCCGAGCCAGAACCAAAGAAAGAGCCCCCCAAAATGACCCGCAAGAAGAAATCCAAAGCCCGCAAGCTTAACCTCCAGCGAGGGAATCCCCCCAAGAGACCAGCACCGCCGCAATCGCTCCCCCCACGGCCACCAGGTCCGATCCCCTCCATCGAAACGCCCACCGATCTGGCTCTATCTCTGGCTCCAGCTCCAGCTCCCGCCAAACCAGATAAGGCCCACCCACCTCCCAAATCACGCTTCGGGTTCTCCTGGTGGCGGGACCAGAAGGGAGGCGAGATGTTGCGCGGTCAGCTTGCTCAGGGCAGTAGTGGTCAGACTCCTCAACGCAGCGCTAGCTGGGCTGGAAGACCCGGGGAAGCATACCACGGCACCGGCTGCATCAAGCGCGAGGATGGGGGATGTCGCGAAAACGAGTACTTCACGCCGAGTTACCATGCGGGGTATGCTGGTGGTGTGGGGGGTGTTCTGGACTATACCTGGGGTTATGCAGGCGGGGTTGGGACTGGTATAATGGGCGACAGTGGTGGTCTTCATCATCAGCTGGGGGAGTGGGGGGTTGGTGTCAAGTCGGAGTATAACGGTGCGTCGTTCGGGGTAGATGCTGCTTATGGGGACGGCTATGGCAAGGCGTTCGTTGCAGATTATGGGGGAAAGTATGGCAAGGCATATGATACCAACACCATGGCCAGATACAGCGCAGAAGCAGGTTACAACCTAGCTTCCGCGACGTCTTACATCTCAGGGCATGGACCTGTCTGCTCCTCCACCCGTGACGCGATGTATACTGGAATCATGAGCAGAGACGGCGGCGGCCCCTATTGCGGCGACGAGGGCATCCATCCCATAAACCCTCGCCACCTTGACGAAACCAACAGCGTGAAAAGCACTACCCCCGATCTAGGTCGCGATTGTGTCTTCTGCGGCAGGAATGGGCATTCGACTGTGGCGTGTCCGGAGCGGTGGGGAAATAATGGTAATGGTCATACTGACTCGAAAACTGTGAGTTTACCTTCTCCTCGTCTGCAACTAATCTACAAACACGTCGAAACCACGCTAATGCAGTGGTTAGCAGGCCCGTCAACCAAGCAATGAAAGAACCAGAACCAAGAGAAACAGGATGCGAACTATGAAGCGGAAACTCCGGCAGCACCCGGGGAGGGAGACGCAGAAGGAGGTGGAGGAGGAGCGGGAGAGGCTGGATGCTCTCCTTCGCGAGGCGCAGGAACTGGAGGAACGTGCTTCGAAATTGCTGACTCGGCAAGAGCCGCCGGTTGATTTGGATGATATTTTACGCCGGATCATTGAGGATATGAGGTGATATCTGGTTGTTTTTGCGCCCAGGAATCGTCAGAGATCGATTGGAATGTTTAATCTGATATGGCCTGTTTCAACTGGTGATTTCAAATTGTAAGTAGCCGACATCCGAGTCCCTGACAAGTACAGTACAAATTAACGCCTGAATTTGATAATTTTCCATAAACGCCGAAATATCCACCCGTGCTTTGTATGAGGAAGAGATTACTCGTCTCTGGCGAGGCGCCGGAGGATCATGACCACCAGGGCGACGACCACGCCGACAATGGCCCGGTCGAGCCAGGGGGTATCGGGGGATATTTGCTGTTGCTGCTGTTGTTGCTGAGGAAGTTGAGGTTGAGGTTGGAGCAGCATCTGGCGCTGCTGCGGCGTATGGTCAGAATGCTGTTGCACAGCTGTTGGCTGTGTTGTCGTTGTTGATGGTGTCGATGCAGTAACGGCAGCAGCAGCAGTTATCGAGGTAGTAGTATGCGTCTGTGCATCCCCTCCCCCAGAAACCGCCGTATCAGACTTCAAAGACCCTATCGTCGAAGGTTCCTGATCTCCCTTCCTCTCCCCCTGCTCCTCCTCCTTCCCCAGATCTGCATTGTCGCCTTCACCCTCCGCACGTAAGTCTCCCCCCTTCTCCCTCTCCTCCCCCTCTACCTTCTTCCCATCCTCCACCCTATCACCAGACCCAGAAACACTCACCCCCCTCTCCCGACAAAAACCCCACCACCCCTCCAGCACCTCCAAATTTGTCCTCCCCTCCGCCCCCTCCGCCCCCTCCTCCCCCTCCTCCTCCCCAAATAATCTCCCCATACACCCCTCACACCTCCACCCCCTCGACGCAGCCGCATACCGCCTCCGCACCTCCTCCCCCACATCCAACCCGCCCACCTGACCCCTCGCATCCCCATCCATAAAGCTGCGGAGGGCAATCAACGCCGTCCGGATCCCCCACGCCGGCTGCCACGTCTCCTCATGGTGCCCCGAGATGCTGAGACAGATCTCGCGGTTGACCTCGAAGCGGCCGGAGGGGGTCAGGAACCGGAAGGAGGGCGGGCGCAGCGGGTACGTCGGCGGGAGCACGATCCGGCCGTGGTAGATCCCATTGCTGTAGGGGGAGGGGGCCGGTGGGCCTTGCAGCGTGAAGTGCCAGTCGTATAGGTTGGAGGCGCTGATGGGGGCTGCGTGGAAGGTTGGGTCCGGGTTTTTGAGGAGGTCGGCTTGTTCGCGCGTTAGGCGGCGGAGGGAGGGGGTCATTTTCTTTTCTTTTTTTTTTTTTCTTTTCGGATGTTTGGGTGTGTGGGTGTGTGTGGTTTGGGGGTACGCCCGGGGGGTGGTAGAGGTTAATGGTGCGGGGAAAGATGGGATGTGGTGCGGGTGTGAGGCGGTTTGGATGTGGTGATGGTGGTGGTTGTAGTCGTGACTGTGGTTGGTTAAGAGTAGGTATAGATACGTCGAGAGCTGAGTGTAGTATTCTTGCTTCGTGCTGGGTTGGTTTCAAGGTAGAGACGTGGGTTGAGTTGCTGGGCGCATTGGATGATATGTACAGTGCTGTACTAGGTTCTCTGTGACAAGGCCGGCTTGAGTGACGTGTTTCCTTTGACGTCTGTTCGTCTTTGTTGATTGCAGTAATCAGTAAAGCTGGGAGATGAAGGAATGAATTTGATTCGAGTGGAAGTAGGTTTGTAGAGGGGAGTTGCAAAAGAGTAGAATGTTGTAAGTCAAAGTCGTTGTCGTAGTGGTAATGAGGGGAATGAGGAGAGGCCAACTGGCCTGAGGTGTCAGTCTGGAATGTGGGCCAGGAACCATTGCGTAATCACAATGCATTCCTCACCACATCTGCACCTACGATCAACTGAACTCCGGAGATGTTGGAGTGAAGCGTAGTCAGATGAGAAAAAAAAAAAATCGGATTTCAGAAACTTCACACCAGCCTCTACAAAATACAACATCCTAATCGTGAGCCTGTCATATCTCATACTTATATATAATCTTCCTAAGTGTACACCCTGTATATCAATCCCAGTTCCTCCATTCATCCTCTCCATGCGGTGCCGCCTCCTCATCACTATCCTCCCCGTGTCGCAGACGCGGTGACACCGGCCGCAATGTCTTCATCGACACACCGGTACTGGGTCTCTCAGGATCTCGAACTACATCCAACGGCTGCTGCGGCGTCCAGGTGGCAGCCGGATTGGCAGCAGAAGTCGCAGCGTCTGGCCCCATCCAGCTTTGACTGTTGTTCATATTCCGTGTGTACAGATCCCGGTAATACTGCTGCTGGTCGGCCGCCTCCTGTTCCCGTCGCACCCGCACACCGTCGCGCGCCTCAAGGAACTTGGCGCTGGGCTCCCAGTGCCAACCGTCGCCGGTGGTGGTACAGACGGGGACTGGCCACAGCAGCGGGCGGCTTCCGAACAGGTGCAACAAATTGCGCTTCCAGCCCAGATCGAACGCATGGGGCATCTTCTCGCTGTCCTGCTCTTCCAGATAACTCTGGTACCGATCATGCTCGCGCTGTCGTTCCATATCCGCATACGATCGCGTCAACGCCTGCTGCGCGGGGGACAGATTCTCCCTCCCTGAGAAGTGCTGCGTGGCGCCCGGCTGCGGAGGTCTGACCTCGTCCTCCCCTTCTTCCGCCCTGGTCACCCCCGGGATCGCGTTGGCATGCGCATCCAGGATCTGTCCGCCATACTCCTGCAACCGGTGACCCAAACCCGCAACACCCCCTTCTCCTCCAGCTCCATCCGGATCATGGCCTGCAAGCCCCTCGTAGCGATGGCGATCCAGCGCCTTCCGCAATGGCGAGACGTACCTCGTCTTCTCCAGACACTCAATCGTGGTGACCCCCCGGACCGCCAGACTGATATGCCACGCCGTGAAGCCCGACAACACCAACCCGATGATCCCGCCCAGCACGGCCAACAACACCACATTGATGGGCAGCATCTTGTCAAAGTCCATATACTTGCTATCGTCCAGCATCTCGTTCCAGATCCACGTCGACGCAACCAGAAAATCGACCCAGCAGAACACCGAGGTGTATATCAAAAACAGAAGGAACGCCTTGTAGTTGTATAGCCCCACGCATGTCGCCAGCCAGGGACAGTGGTGGTCCATCTTCAGCACGCACCGCTTGCAGGTCGAGCAGTGGTGCGCCCGGTCGGGCTTGGGGCATTGGCACTTCTTGCAGAAGCGGGAGCCGCCTGTTGAGTTGACCGTGTAGGCCGTGTACTGCGGGAGTTCGGTGACGGGGAGGGCGCTGTATTCGTGCTGGCTGCGGCTGTTCGAAGGCTTGAGGGGGGTACCGGGGTCGGTGAAGACGGCGACCGTGTAGCAGGTATTGAGGCAGATGTAAAGGAAGATTCCAAGAATGGAACTGGGAAAGCCTGGCCATGTAATGCAGAGTCATTAGAGATGTACGGTAGCATTTGGGTAGGAAAAGAGCCTCACCAATCCAGCTGCTCTGCACCGACTTGAAGCCGACACTGGCCTCCACCCAGACGGCCCACGTCGTCAGTCCATAAACAAAAGCGAGAGGGAAGAACGACGCCGCAGTGCAGCAGTAGCGTTCAATGCGCAGCGCCCACGCCCGCGGCCGTCGCTTCGGCCACGACGGCGATAACGGCGATGATGCTGCTAAGGTTGCCATGGTTCACAAAGTGGCCGGGGTCGAGCTGCCGATCGGTTCCTTCAGGGCGATCAAATCATGGCAGCCAGTCCCGGATAGAAGAAATAAAGTACTCGAGTACGAGACAAGGAGGTTGAGGCGCTGAGCGAAGCCAAGTAAGTGTGTATATACCTCAGCAGACAAGGCATCGAACGAGAAGTGAGACAGGGAAGATGTAGAGGAGGCCGTCGGCTGACGGATCATCAGCGGTGATTACGACGCTACGGATGGTTACGGTACCGTACCGAGCGAGTCCCGATCTGTCACCGCCACATCCGGTAGATCACATGCCCACTATTAATATTGCTAGATTGCTAATTGTGGCGCAGTCGCTCATAAGCCTTGTTGGCGTCCCATGTCAATATAGGTTAACTTTGTTCGTAATGCATTCGCTAGTCTACCAGAGATACTATATGAACATTATTCACTGCGGCACTGACATACAAAGCCAGGCCTGCGTCTTCTCCACTAACGCCGTTGAATAATGTACTGGAATGGGAAAATGCCAACCAAATCGCATAGAGGGATATTCAGATGTAAAACTCGTATGCACAAAGATCCAAAATGCTGTATATCGAACACGCTTAAGAAGAATTCTCGTCGGTCGTGATGTTACCTTGCTCGCACCAGTCCTTGATCGGCTAGAGGGTTATTAGTATGAATTGCACAAGACACATCTTGGGGAAAAGACTCACCAGACAACTGAGTCGGTAGCACCAGGAGCAGTTTGATTTCGGGTATTTGTAGAAATCGATGATGAGCAGGATGAACCCGATCAGCACGGCAACCAGGGCTCCCACACGCACCAACCACCATGCCCACCACAGAGGCTTTCGGCCGCGGACAAAGTTCATAGGGTTCGATTTGCCGTCGGATGATTTCAGGCTGCGCTTGCCCTTGAGGAAGTCGACGATGCTGGGGGCGGGAACCACCTTCTGACCTTCCTCTGGAGTGGCCGTGCCCACGCCACCACTCATGGCCACATACGGGTTCCGTGCAAGTCCGATACGTTCTCGCAACGCGTTCGGCGATCTCAAGAGACACAGTCCCAGTGCCAGACCCATGGTGAAGCCGCCAATATGTGAGAAGTTGTCCAGTCCTGGCAGCAGTCCCAGAACAAAAGACACGCCGATTCCTAGAACCATAATGATCAACTCGACCCACGGCGACTGGCGATCTTGCCAGCTGTATAGTAGATCCAGTAGATCGAGTGCGAGAATGCCGAAAAGTGCTCCGGAGCAGCCGCATGATGCCTGACCCTGAGCGGCATAGTTGCCTCCGAGCACGAACCCCCAGATTCCACTAGCCAGATACACCAGAGCATACCGCCACCACCCAATCATTTTCTCCATGGCCACACCGATGGTCATCTGCGCAAGCAGATTGAAGCCGATGTGGATGAACCCGCTGTGAATGAACATTGGAATGATGAATCGGAACCATTGGTTTGGCTCAGGCTGATCGTCCAGCGATCCATTGGGCGTCGGGTTTGGCACACCGTTGAAACCACACAGTTCAGACAAGGTGCAGTGAGACTCGGTCGTCGTCGCGTTGGGACAGGGAAAGAGAATCGTTTCGTTGGCATTCTGAATGCCCGGTGTATTCTTCATACAAGGAGTGTATCGAGATCCCATATAGATCTGAAGGTAGGGAGAAGGACCGATCATGACATTGAACGAGGGTTTAGTTTCGATCGGGCTTCCCGTAAATTGAGCTGAGCCAGTCAGCATAATTCCTTTGATCCTGATCCTATGAACCTACCGTTCTTGACCAACTCCACGATGAAGACAATGATCTGGATCAGAGTGAGAGTGTAAGTGACCCAAGCGATCTTCCTTCCAAAGAAACCCTTCTTTTGTGTTCGTCGAGCGCCAGGGCGCATGGCAGGCTCGATCTCGTCCGGTGACGGCGGATAATGCGTTTGTTGTTGCATCCAATTCGCAGGCGGCGGAGGGCCATTTGGATACTGGTTGTTGGCCTTCAAGGGAATATTCTCGGCATACTGTTCGCCTTCGTTGACTCTGGCGCCGGCTGCATAGGCTCCCTGGTCGGACCCCAGTGATTGTTGACTGTAGTGAAGCTGAGGATCGGAAGTGGTGGGCTGATAAGGATGTGTATCGAAACCCGGATGACCGGTTGCCGGGTATTGAGCTAGGTTTGGATTGACTTGTTCGTAGGTTGGCGGATTGCTGCTGTAGCCACTCTGATAGTAGCTGTTAGCCGCCATGTCGAATGGACAGCCGGACTGGCGACGGGCGCAAGGGGCGGGGGGGTTGAAGTGGTTGGCGGTTGTTTGACTATTGCTACCGAGGGGGCTGATTTTCGGGGTAATAATATCGGTTGTTGTGCCTTAAACAAATTCAATCTGCAAGTGTTGAAAGTTGTTTGAGTTGATGCAGGATATTGACTGGGGTAAAGGAAGGCAAAACAATCAGCAGCTGGCAGGCAGGCGGGCAGAAATCACGGGCACGTTTGGCTATTAAACAAATGGACAGGGCTGAAACACTGATCAACAATGAGTTGTAACTTACTGTGTAAGTTTGGTTGGTTGTGACTTAAAGAGAAAAGGCAGGTCCAGGTTCTTCCCCCCCTGAGCCGTCAATGAAAGGCGGCGGGAAAATCAGAAACAGTGACGGATCGCCCCCAACAGGCGCACTTGGTTTGCTATCCTGTCAACAATCCTTCAAGGTTCTCGGACGGATGTGAAGAGATTGGGTCAACAAACCACTCAAATGACAAATTACAGGAGAGAAAATGAGGAAACGAAGGAGCAGAGACAACTTTGCAAGGGACGGGAAAGAAACAGTAATTTAGGCAGGCGTCATTTGGAGTGACTTTGAAAGTTCCTTTCCGATGGGCGCGCGCACCGCCGCCTATTTTTGGGCGGCGATCACCAAAAACCCATTGGAACTCATCATCGTCGTCAGCCATAAGTGGTACGAGTACTCCGTATGCAGGCCAGATTCATTCATTACACACACGCAAGTCATCGCTGACTGCGGGCCACGCACACTGCTGGGGCCGAGCCAGTCAGGTGCTGGCCAGGCACGCTGTGGCGGAGTCTTCTTGGTTTTCCTCTACGATTCCCATTCGTCTACTCGTGCTATAGAACAGTGGCACGGCCGGTAAACCGTCGCGTCGTCGGCTTGGCACTTGCAATACATATCTGGTGGCTGGTGTCCGCTCCAGCTTTCTCCATTTTCAATAAAGTAGTGACACTGCAAGCAGACAAGAGGCTCGTGCGTAACTGGATCTGTTCTGCGCGCAGCGCGCACAACCAGTGCATCCCACAGGTTATATATGGGTTCGTTCATATTTCACATTAAGCATTATTTCACATCTAACAACACCCATTCGGTCTAATCCCACATGGTGGTCGCCTATACATCAATGTATGGTAGGGTTGAAGCTCATGTGCATGAGATCTCTTTCCCCTTGACCTTGGACCCAAAAAAAGCCAAACAAAACCAGAAGACTGTGCTCCCAGTGGACGGTCGACACGTACCAAGACGTGTCAAGGCTGAGGGTCAAATCTCTTCATCATGTTCCGCCTGGGTTATCATCCTGCACGCTCGACACGCGTGCTCACATTATATAATCCGATGTCTTCCGTTCAATTCATTATGTTCGGACGGCGCACCCGCCGCTACCGATTGTATATCATAAAATTCCCAAAACGCCGGTTTGAACTCCCAAATATGAAGCAAAGGTGGCACTCGGGGATCTGTCAAGGCTGTCAGCTTCGAACGCGGAATCGCGCAACTGCAGGTTTCGATACTTCTCTTACCTTCATTGTCGATCCCTGGTATCCTTATACCAAAATAGAGGTGCAGAGGCAAATCACACAAAGCAAGAGGGAAAGCGGAGGATCATAGCCATGACCCTCTGTATAACTTGATCGCGAATGAGGCGATCTCAGCTCGAAGGCATAGACATGGAGTTGACGTGAGAATCGATGATCCCCAAAGCAGCTCCCATTTCCTCTCCATTCTCACCAGTCAACAGCCAGATAAGACGGCTAGCCTTCTGGTATAGAAGCGCAGGGAAATAAACCAGCAGGGCCCAGAATAGAAGGGACAACACGACGATCACAAAGGTGTTAGCCACCAGCTTCTCTCCCGGCGTCATGACATACAGCCCGAATGTGACCTCATAGCGATAGTATTCTAGCCGAATGCGATCGGTAATCCGCTGCAGGACGTTTCGGTGAGCTTTCTTCATGGACAGGTGGCTGACGGCGGAGGTTGAGGTCGACATTGTAGAGGAGTATTTGTTGATTAGCTCATCCACGGCCGCCGGCGCATGGGACGAGATGTGGGTGGAGGTGGAAGGGGTATAGAAAGACTGCATTTCGGTTGCCATCGCTGCGCAGTTGCTGATATATACGTCGGAATGCCAATCTCAGGGGGATCGAGGTTTCCTTAAGAGGAGGTTCCGTTCCTTGCAATTCCTGGTCCGTAGCCTTGCCGATTGCACTCCCTTCCGTGACCAGCCGAGCAGGCGGGTAAACGGCCGTCAGAGATTTGGCGGTGCTGGTATATGATCTACGTTCGAGCTCGCGTTGCGCCGTTGACTTTACACCGTGGACAATCAGACACTCCTCCGAGCGCTACCGAGCACAGTTGACAGAGGAGCTCTGAGGTAGGAGCGGAGCGTTGTTGAGCAGCGTTGGGTTGTGAGATCGACACCCGATCGCGAAAGTGCACAGATGCAGATCAATTGAAGCTCCCCCAACAATGAAGTACAGGAATGAGATGGTGGTAACGGCAACGGAAACTAGAAAGAGCACCCAAGGAGGCAAGCCTGGAGAAGAAGACTATAAATACGAAGAGCTTGAGAGAGAAAGGGAGGAGGACAAATTAAGTAGAGAGAAGCGCGAGGTGAAAAGAGAGAAAGAGAGAAAGACTGAGCGAGCAATTGAAGGATCCGGGTTCGGTAGAGCGCGGATCAAGAAAAGCGGCCCGGACTTAATGATTGGAAGGACGAACGATTCCTCAGGCAATAGTCAGAGGTTCTAAACTTCTTAGACTGACTGTTAGTCTAGTTCTTTCCGGGAAGAAGATGCTGGCTGATGCTAAGATAGCCAAGAGTCAATTAATCATGAATCACACCAGTCCCAGTGTCGTGGGGGCGCCTTTTTCAAGGAACGATACTCAGATCAGTAGTTGCTGAGAAATTAAACCTGCAGCGGGCGCCGCGAAGTGCCTGAGGCTTCGTGATGATTGGCCGCAAACGGCCTTCCAGCGTCATCATCGGTCTCAAGTGGGCATTGTAAGGGAATTCCCGCCCGGGCTTTTCCCGCCCGGTCTTTGGCTCTTTGGTTCTTTGGTTCTTTGGGTCTTTTGGGTCGTGACTCGTTTGGGTCTGCTAAGATTTTTTCCTGGTTCAGTTCCAGAATTTACCTGAACTGGTTTAGAGTCAGTCAGTTAGTAACTAGTCGTGAGAATTGAAGACTTTTTTGTTTTTAAAAAAGTAAAGAAGTAGTGCCACAATGAGTATGTTTGTCCAGGCCGCGACTGACCCTTCGTCCAGTACGGTATTTGTAGTCCACCATGGGGATAAAATTTGGAGGAGGAAGGGAGTCAATGCCAATCCATGCCTTGCATGAATCAAGCCTTACTATGTAGTAGTTGCTCATTACTCAGAAATGATCGCTTACCAAGTAGTTATTTACCGTGACGACTTCCGGCAGCGTGCCTCCCTCCTCTCTCGGGAAACCGGCAAGCGGATGTGATATCCGACTGCTCGACCACTTTAGGTATTATTCCTCGCAGCCCTGAGCAAAGAATCATGAGATTGGAGTGGGACAGGCTCCGCATTTGTCGAGGCCTTGATGAATCACAATGGAAGCGTCAAAGCCTGTTGATTGATGTATTCATCATATTCTGGATGAGTCGGTCACAAACTAGTCAAGGCGTCGCGACGCTCTGCTTCTAGCCTTGATTCAGCATCTATGCAGATTTTGTTATTGTTAGGCACACGAAGAAAAGGAACTCAACGGAATAAATCGTCACTGTCTCTTTTGTGAAGGTGGCCCGGAGAACCCCTCTTTTTGTTTCACGGGCAACAATGGGCGCCGGCAACTCAATTCCCCGACTTGAACCAGGCTGGGTAAGTAGTTATTGTTGACATTGACTACTACAAGTCGATTGGCCGACTGGTGGCAGTGATGAAGAGCTTGCACCTCATCTAGCACTTGGCCCTGACCTGGCTATTCTAATTCATTATCAGCTCGTGTCACCTCATCCATCCCTTCATCTGCAGTACCTATATGTACTGTACGTACTGCACATACGCCCATCGATGGGCCAGCCCGGGTGATGTCATCCCCACCTATCGTTTCAACCGTCCCGCTTCGACTCCGTCGACAAACGTCCTTCCCCTCCTTTGCTGCATCGCATCTTACTCGAAGATTTCGCATGATCCATCACCGTTCCTTTCCCGCAAACCCTGTTTATCGCCATGGCTGAGGTAGACGATCCTCTCGTTCAAGCGTTGCCTCCTGCGACCGATTATCTGACTTACTTGACGTTGCTCGAATACCAATTGACCCCCGCCCGTCTGCCTACCCTGCATAAACTCCTCCAGGATGAGGTGCTGACGACCAATATCGGCTGGGACCTGGTCCAGCTGCTCATTCCTATGCTACCTCAGTCTTTGGACTGTCTGCATGATATTGCTCGCCTGGGAAATCCTAGAGAGGTGATTCTACGGGTTTCGGATGCCCTGATGAAATTGCAACCCGCCGAGGACGAGAACGACAACGTCGAATGGACAAATACGGACTCAGAATCATCTCACCCGCACGGGGAGTCATCGCAACATGTGGTCAGCGAATCGGAGCCCAAATCGGACGATGAGCCAAAGCCCCTGCCTCGCCATATCCTACAATTCAACGCGCTCGTTTCCATGTTGTCGGTGTTGCACTCTCGCATTCAGACCAAGTCACCCAGTCGATTCCTGGCCACATCTCTGCAAGCCTTGCTCGAAGCGTATACACTGATGCCCACAAGTGAAACTACAATTGCTTTGTTGGAATTCTTTCGAGATGTGTCGCCTTCGAAACGGCCGGCCCCGCCACCCCGGGCAGCCAGTGAATCCAGCGTGGTCCGCCTGTCTGAAGCTTCTGCCCCGGACCCGGAAGCTGAAGTTCAATCCCCGTCTCCGGCCACTGACAACGAGGCGGTCTTGGTCCAGAGGTTCCTACAGTTCGGTCTGCTTGAAGTTCTGAAATCATACCTGCTCAGCTTTGCGGGTCCGCTTGACCCCGGAATGTCATGGACGATCCGGCTGCAAGAGAAACTTCATCCCGGATTGCGAATGGCCGGCCAACAGACGCAGACAGACATCTTTGCCCAAAGCAAACCATTGAAGGAGCGAGACTTAATCGTTGCCAAGATCACGGTACGGCCCGAGATCGAATCCCGGGGATCGTTGGTTGCTAACATTCATTCATAGGCACTATCTCGCGACTTCGGTATTAGTGACAAGCAGCTGCTGGAAATCGCCTTGAAATCATCCGACGACCAGCCCCCGCCGTTGGATTTCGATGAGCCGCCTCGCAAAGCGGACGAGATCCCCCTGGAAAGACATGGTTCCCTACTGCTCCTCGCAGCACGGGCAGCCTCGGCGGAATTGTTCTCCTCCGGCCCAGTCACCCCGACTTCTGTCTTCCCGGACTTGGCGTGCATTTTCCGCAATTTTGTTGGAGGATACAACTCGCCTGACGAGGTGGCCTTTGGCCATCCACAAGTGCTACTCGACTCACTACTTGCTTTGACTATCTTCTCCATGCAGCAACCAATCCAGCCACCAGCCGCAGAAAAAGAGTTCATCGATTTCGTGCTATCCCTGACGGCATGTACTGCCCGGCAAAACTACAGTTCGGTCCGACGAATCCCGGGCATAGTTGTTCAGAGCAATCCCTCGCAGATAACCCGCTTTAAACTCATTCGAACAGTTCTAGAGGATGACCGGTTCCAGACTGTCAAAGACAGCGCTATTGCCTGGCTGAAAGACGGAATGTTGGAAGCACCCAAAGCTTCTGAGACCGATGTGCCAACTGAGTCAAGCATATTTCTTGACCCGCATTATTTCTCTGTGTTATTTCCCTCGCTCTTCAACTCATCCGCCTTGCTTATGAATGTGTTATCGGACCTTGTGGCATCGTGGATCAAGTTCTCGCAAACCTTGACACCATCAATCCATGCGGCGCTCAGTTTGTATTACCTTGTCGTCTCGTCACCAAACCTACGCCGTCAATTGCAGCTGGAAAAAACCTACATATACTTCCGCAACCGCTTTTTGGAGCCGCTCAAATCCCTGTGTCATGCATTTGAGGCGGACCTCAAGGTCAACGGGGGTGACGGCAAAATTGAAGCTGCGGTGGGTGAGGACCTAACGCAGATCGGAATGGCACGGTCGGTGGGCTTGGTTTCCCATGCATTGGAGCAGGTGGAAGAGGCGGTTGGGGAGGCGTTTGTGCTCAAGAACTCGGAACTCCCTGAGCCCAGTGCTGATGATATCGCTCGGGTGGATATGATCCGAAAGGAAACCTCCCCTTAGGTCATCAGTAGTGTACATACACACAGTATTGAATACGGCCGGAATATACGCCTCCGTATGTCTATAATCGGATCTTTGCTGGGTGATTTCTGCTCAATGCTTCCGGGCGAGGAGAGTAGTGCATAGATGGATTCCATTATTCGCATGGGAGGTATTCCGTAGGAAGAAATGGACAAGGTGAAAGGTATAGGAGTAAAGACGTAGAGGTCGATGCCATCTCGCTTTCAGTGCGTTAGCAGCCAGCCACAACGTGACTTTTTGTGATGAGGGTAGTCGTCGCCCTTATCCAAGAGGCAATGAAATTATCGCAAGTCCGTTCTTGCCCGAGCATTGGTGGACGGGGTTTGCTCGGTCCATGGGCTTCAGCTGGGCCGCATTGCACCACAAGTTGTCAGACCATCTTGGCTCATCACTCTAGTTAAGTTCTCCGGTGGGATTCCGTGCTTAGCTTCTTGTAGTCGACGCAGTAGCGACCCGTAGACCTGCAGCGTATTCTTGGCCCGTGGTTTAGTGCAAGTTTCGGTAGTTCTGTTCTCGATCACCCAATCGTCTTTGGAAGTGCCTTCGTCGAGTCCTTAGAAATTCCGACGCAGCGGTGGCTAGACAGCCCAAGAGATGCAGAACGTCGAGACCGGTTGGAGGGGGAAATGAAGACAAGCAGCGGAGGAAAGGTGGTCGATCATCTCCATTGGTCGACGGCAGCCATCTTCATTAATACCTCATTTCCGGCCCAGGCAGGCCTCCCTCTTTCCCCTTCGTTCTTTCGCTGCGTCTCCCCACCAGCAAGATAAGCGATTGCCCTTTTCATCCTTCCCCACCTCCTTCACAATACTCAGCTGCATCATCAAGGAATCCAGACTGACGGACTTGTGTTTAGTGTGGCACTAGTGGACCTCACTAACGCGGTTGCCGTGATGAATCGTCCACTTTGACTCCTTGACGGCCTGACCCCCCCGAGAAGAAAAGCCGTAACCGAGCCAGGGGCGGCGATTCTGCGGGGAAATCCAAGCCATCTCGTTGGAGGAAACGGACTTGGCTCCCCGGATTTGACCTCATCGGAGAAGCTGGTCTGCTGGTCACAGTGTGCAGAACGCCCGCGCAGGGGCTTATGCAGGTCACACCTCGTCCAACAAGGTACAAGCCAGATGCCGACAAAGCGATTGGATGCCTGTGGCCAATGCATGTTCATGTCCGCTTCACATGCAGTCGAGTCGAACTTCCCCCTCGCCCCCCCCCCCCTTCTCCCTCACCCGGTGCTGGACGGCTGCCTCATGCGGTCTATAAAAGGCAGTGACTTTCCCACTGTCTAGGGATTCTTTTTTGTCACTCCAGTCTCATTCTCTGTTCTGCTCATAATCCCCGTGTTTCCCTTGCTTCGCCATGATCCGGCGCGTTTCCTATGCGCTTTGCGCGCTGGCTCTCAGCTCCTGGGCTGCTGCTGCCCCGCAGCTGAATGCTCGCGCTACAGGCAGTGTCGACTCCTGGTTCGCATCTGAGACCACGGTCGCCCTCGATGGCATTCTTGCCAACATCGGCGCGGACGGAGAGTTTTCCAAGAGTGCTAAGTCTGGCATCGTTATTGCTAGTCCAAGCACTGACAACCCGGACTGTGAGCAACTACTTTCTTCCTAGTTGTATGGCTGTCCGCTAACAAGGCGTGCGCAGACTACTACACCTGGACCCGTGACTCGGCTTTGACCATGAAGATCCTCGTTGATCTCTTTGTCAACGGTGAATCGAGTCTCCAGACGGTCATCGAGGAGTATATCAATGCCCAGGCTTACCTGCAGACGGTTTCCAACCCGTCTGGTTCTCTCTCAGGTGGAGCAGGTCTTGGAGAACCGAAATTCAACGTTGACGAGACGGCGTACACTGGCAGCTGGGGCCGGCCCCAGCGGGATGGACCTGCGTTGCGAGCGACCGCTCTGATTGGCTTTGGTAACTGGCTGATTGTAAGTTCTGTCGAAAAGTTTCAAGTGACTTGACTGACTGACATATTCAGAACAATGGCTACTCCACCTACGCGACGAACATCATTTGGCCCATTGTTCGCAATGATCTGTCCTATGTTGCTCAGTACTGGAACCAGACTGGTTACGGTCAGTCATCACAAACCCTCCTTGCCTGACGATGACCGCTAAATTGGAAGTATACAGATCTGTGGGAGGAAGTGAATGGGTCTTCGTTCTTCACTGTTGCGGTCCAACATCGGGCACTTGTGGAAGGCAGCACTTTTGCTAAGAGTGTTGGCTCGTCTTGCAGTTGGTGCGATTCTCAGGCTCCGCAGATTTTGTGCTTCATGCAGAGCTTCTGGACTGGCTCCTACATGCTTGCCAACACCAACAGCGGCCGCAGTGGCAAGGACGCGAACACTGTGCTCGCCAGTATTCACACTTTTGACCCCGCCGCAGGCTGCGATGACACGACCTTCCAACCTTGCTCACCGCGTGCGCTGGCCAACCACAAGGTCTATACTGACTCTTTCCGCTCGGTCTACTCGCTTAATTCCGGCATTGCTGAGGGTACTGCGGTTGCAGTCGGCCGCTACCCCGAGGACTCGTACTACAACGGCAACCCTTGGTTTTTGACCACCCTTGCAGCTGCCGAGCAGTTGTACGATGCTATCTATCAGTGGAACCGTATTGGATCCATCACCATCACCAGCACGTCGCTTGCCTTCTTCCAAGACCTGTACAGCTCCGCGGCAGTTGGAACCTACTCCTCTTCCAGCTCCGCCTTTACCTCCATCATCAGCGCTGCCAAGACCTATGCTGATGGATACGTGAGCGTAGCTGTACGTCCTTCTTCCCTGAGTTTCAAAGCGCCTTACTGATACCTTACAGGAGTCTCACGCTATGACCAATGGATCCCTTTCCGAGCAGTATGATAAGACGCACGGTACCCAGCTCTCTGCCCGAGACCTCACCTGGTCCTATGCTGCGGTCCTGACGGCCAACTTGCGCCGCAACTCGGTTGTGCCTCCTTCCTGGGGAGAGACCAGCGCGAGCAGTGTCCCATCCGTCTGCTCTGCAACCTCTGCAACCGGTACCTACAGCACCGCTACCAACACTGCTTGGCCAAGCACCTTGACCAGCGGTAGCGCTGGCACTGGAACCACCACTACCACCACCACCACTAAGGCTGGCAGCGGTAGCACTACCACCACCACTACCACAAGCAAGACTTCAACAACAACCTCAGCCTGCTCCACTCCCACAAGTGTTGCAGTGACGTTTGATGTGATTGCTACCACCACCTACGGAGAGAACGTGTATATTTCCGGCTCCATCTCCCAGTTGGGCAGCTGGGACACCAGCAGTGCAATCGCATTGAGCGCCAGCCAGTACACCTCGAGCAACAATCTGTGGTATGCCACGATCAGCCTGCCCGCAGGCACTACCTTTCAGTACAAGTACATTCGCAAGGAGACAGATGGGTCGATTGTCTGGGAGAGCGACCCCAACCGGTCTTACACTGTCCCCTCGAGTTGTGGAGTGAGCAGTGCCACGGAGAGTGATACTTGGCGGTAGTCAAGCTTGAAGGAATCTTCGGACGGAGGGACCATCAAGCTTGTTCTCTATATATAGCTACTACAACCGTGGCCCGATGATTTAATCAGGGACTTAGTGTTAATCCTTTGTCAAATGCAATGTTCCAATCCTTGGACTTTGATCATGATCGAACTTCTCAACTGTTCTGACAGCCTTCACTAGAAGGCGAAGTAATGCCAGCCTTTCTCTCGATTACTTTCGTGGAAAAAAAGAATGCCACAACAACCCAAAGCACAGACACCGGATGGTATATACCTCCAGGCACGTCCAGCCCGGATATTGTTAGCTATGAAACAAACAGCCTCAGGAGACAAAGTGATCAGCAAGCCGGTCAGAGCCCTCGCTCGGAAGATATTGCTCGAAGATCGTGACTTGCCACTCCACAAATGGATCAAGATACGAGTTTCCTTTTCGAAGCGGTATGCATGAGGTGATATGTATGCAAACCCGCATGCAATGAGCAAGGCACCGCTCCGCATCTGATCTGTCCCATGGAACTACGATCCCGGCATTACCGTTTTGGACAAGAGATTGCACTCATCTTACAGCCATGCACCAAAGCATTGCAATCGCCGCCCATACACCGACAATCCATGCAATTCAAGAGGAAGAGTGTGGCGCACCGTACGAGCTCGGGGCTTGGTCGAGACACAGCATATAAACGCAAGCACCCCCAACAGCATCTTGGGATCCCAGCTCTTGTCCAAACCATCACTTTTTGCCTTCTCTTTCTTGTAAACTTTTTCTCTTTCTTCTTTGTTGATCTTCTTCTCTTGCAGTCTGCATCATTTCCCCCTCACAATGGACAACTACCACGCCTGCTCCTCGGTAATCAGTGAGTTCGAAGCGCGCAAAGCCGGCGCCTTCACCTCCCTCCCCATCCGCGTGAACCGCTACAGCGAGGTTGCCACCAAAGCCGCCCAGGACTTTGTATGCAAGTGGAACTGCCATTTCGATGTCGGACCCAACTATCCCGGGTCGACATCGGCGACTCGCTTCGGACAGCGAGAGAACCCACTTGTCATGATCATCCCTGAGGCGCAGCCGGACAGAGTGGCGACGGCGGCGTGTTTGGCTGAGATGGCACGATTGCTTGATGGTGAGCCTCTTTCCTTTTCTCTCTTCTTCATGCATGTATGTTGTATGGCTTCAAGAGGAAATGCTGATGGAACAGTAGACCTCTGCCATCGATTTGGAACTCATAACCGACACGAGGGCTTTGAGCTGTTGAACCGGTGCATCGAGCAATTCTCGGCCTCCTCGTCCTGCTCGTGCTCTGGGTCGTGTGGGAAGAGTTTGGGAGGGGATCGTCCTCACCACCATCGCCACCACCATCATCGCCTGCAGCAGGTCATCTCGGAGATCTTTTCGGATGTTTGCCGGGCTGAGTGCGAGCACGGGGTGCATCTGCTCGAGGTGTATCGGAAGGCGATTGTTCGGGCTCCGACTCCGCTGGACTGCAAGAAGAAGTTTGCTTTCGAGTAAGTGGAACCATTCCGCGAGGATTGAACGTGTGATGACTGATGCTCTGTATAGAGCCTTCTGGCCGATCTTGGAATTCGCCATGGGCGTGCATCTCTCGCACGTGGACCACATGCTTCTTCATGAGATCAAGGACGTCGCGGATGAGTGTCTCGCCTTGAACGATGAATACTGGAGCTGGACTGCAGGGTGCGCAGATCATAAGGCCGGGCGGAATATCATCGACTGCTTTGTCCGCGTGGAGGGGTTATCTGTCGACGCAGCACGCGAGAAGGTCAGAAGAAATATTGTTGAGCTCGAGGGCCGGTTCCTGTCCCTCAAGGACCGATTCTCCTGGCAACACCCGACGGAGTCGATCCGCCTGCACCGCTGGATCGAGGCCGTCGGGGCGGCGATGGCCAGCTACAACTACTGGCGGGCGAATCAGTCGTCGCCTTGCTTCAGCAATAGCAACTGCGGCAAGCCCGAATGGACCAGCGCCTCGTCTACCACCACCCTCATCGATCGTCCTTGCTCTCCTCAACTCAGCTACCGACTCCACCACAGCAGTCTCGAGAGCAAGACCAACGACACCACCGCGCTGACCGCTCCGACCACCTACATCAGCTCCATCGCCTCCACCCCGACCACCGCAATCCTGAACATGCTCCCGGCAGCATTGAACTGCTGGGCCCGCGCGCCGGAACCCTCCCTCCAACACATCCAGACCATCTTCACTCACCTCCACAACGCCACCCTCGTCCTCTGGGACATCTTCACCGCGAGCACCACCCGCCACAGCAGCCCAGCCACCCACATCGTCTTTGGGACCGCGCAGGCCACCAACAGCGCCTACTACGCCTTCACCCACGCCCTGCAATCCGTCCAGCACCACCCCCACCTTCTCAGCAACCCCCCGCAAGCCACCGCAATCCTGACCGAAGGTCTCACCAGACTCTTCACCGGCCAAAGCTGGGCCCTGAACTGGAAATTCACGCACCACACCCCCACCGAGCGCGAATACCTAGGCCTAATCGACGACACCACGGGGGCACTTTTCTCCATCCTGGTCCGACTATTGCAATCGCAGTCCCGCTGTGCCCCTCCCCCCCCATCCCCATGCCATTCTCACACCAGCAGCACCAACGATCCCAAGTTCCTGAACCGCAGCGACTCCCTCCTCTACCTCACCAACCTTCTCGCGCGGTTCATCCGCATCCGCGAGGAGTACCTCTTCTTCACCACCGAATCCTCCACCCCGACAAGCACCGCTCCTGCCAACAAACATGGAATGGAAAGCGCGATAGGGGGATACAGCTACTCGTACCCCATCATCCGGCTCCTGAACACGCGGCCCGAGTGCCGTGCGCAGATCACCGCGCTGCTGTCCTCTTCTGCTTCTACTGCGACGGCTGGCTCATGCTCATCGTACGCGGGTTCTTTCTCGGGCTGCGCGTCTCGTGGAACCAGTCCCTCGCCGTGCGCCTGTCCTTCTTCCCCTCCGTCTTCTGCTTCCTCCTGCTCCTGTCCCTCTTCAACTGGAATCAATAACGCCGGCCAGAGCTTCGGACCGTGCGGTAGCCCTGTCCCGCCGCCGATGAGTGTCCCCGGGCTGCTGCACCTGCTCCGCGATTCGGGGGTGTTGGCCGCCACCAGAGAGTTTCTGCGGGATATGGAGGAGCAGATTGAGCGGGAGGTTGGGCGGTTGGAGGCGGGGGTGTTTGGCGGGGAGACGAATTCGTTGGTGCGGACGGTCGTGGGGCGGTTGAGTGTGAGGGGGGTGGTTTGATTGATTCTCGGTTGTCGATGTTGATATGTGGATAGGGGATTGACAGGTGGCAAAGGAAGGCTTTAAGTGAAGGCCTTTGTGTTGGTGGGGAGGTGGGGTGAGGTGTACTGTACTTGGGTGATGGAGTGTATGTACGAAGTGGAATGACAGTTTTGTATCCTAGTACCTATGCTCAATTTGGACGATATTGTCATCAAATCTATATCCAGTCCCTTGTCGCTCTGGTGGAAAGCATATGCAGCTAAAGTAGAATGCTACATGAACCTGCTATCCCCATCTGTAGACCCATCCTCTCTTCCTGCAGGTGACATCGTAGCCTTGATTATGCTGGCCTTTCAGCTATAACGGTGCTCTATCAAGATGAGTAGAATGATCAGAAGGGGGTTCGATTTGATTAGCTAGATCTACGGCCTCAGTACACAACCGAGTCCAAACTCCACTAACACATTCAAGTGAGCCAGCCAACATATATTCAGAGAGACTATATATCTAACCCAACTCACTCATCGTTCATTCATATAAAAAAAAACCAAAGACTTGGCCCACGCACATCCTATCCAATTCAGAGAGGTTTTTCCAAGACGTATAGACCAACCAGAATACAGCAAAGACCGCAACATGACTCTAGATAAACAAGTACCCAAATCTTCCCGATTCCCTCTCCTAATCTAAAGTCTTCCGGCCCAAAAAGCTCCTCCATCTCTCATCCAAGACACACGCAAGCGTAGCATATCATTTCTCGAATAAGGAAACCCCGAGGCGGAGTTGTAAAGAAAAAAGTGAAAGAATAGAATCCGGATAAAGATGATGATTGATCTGTCAGAGGTGGTTCCAGGGTCCCACATCTTCCCGAAGAAAGGTGGGAACCGACGTCGTGACTGGAACTTCAGGGAGATCAACTTTTGCCCTCCACTAGACCTGAGCCCCGTTTAGGCGCAACGGCACCAGGACCGGCTATTGTTTTTGGTGTTTTGTCGCGGGCCATAGGTTTTCGGGGACGGCGAAAGTAGCGTGAGTTGAGTAGTTGGAGTTAATGATGAATCAAAATATATAGCGTTTATGTGAATGAGATAAGTCATGTTGCGGGTTGGGAAGGAGAATTCCTTATTCGAGATGGACAAAAGCTGAGAGATATTGCAGTATTGATTACGGACTGAAACGATAGATTGGTGCGTTCAGGTGGAAAGTGAGAGGAAGCTCCAGGCTATCTCAGGGAAGTCATTTACATGACAGTGCAGCCGCCACCGGGGGAGGCGCCTATACTTGATATTAGCCAATGTCCTGAACCTTGTAACGTGAGATCAAGAGAAGAGCATCAACAGTGCAAGGGTCGTGACCAGGTTGGAGAGGACATACCGCGGGTGGTGGATTCCTTGACAATCTCGACGGGGGCCATTTTGAATGATTGAAGTGATAGTGATGATCAAAAGATCGAATTTGTTTTTGTTTTGCTTGTAATAAAACTTGCGGATGGAGAGAAGAAGCAATCCTGGAGAGGATTCGAAGGGGTCTTTATAGATTTTCTGGCAGATATAGATTCGCAGACCTTGTGAATGAGAATCTGTACTCCAGCTTTGATATCAAACAGGAGACCAATGGCAACTGAGAAAGTAGGAGGACGGCCTCGGCAGGTACGAATGAAGGGCAGCCTAGGGCGAGGGATTCAGTCTTGTTTCTGTGATACTTTCTTTCTTCTTGTCGGTAAACTTCAGCATGGCGTTCGAGAAGGCTTTCATGAAGGCATCACATGGGGACGAAGTAGAAAGAATGTTTTGGAGGCGACTGAGATGTATGGTTTGGATCCGCTGAGAATTTCTGGGAGGACAGGGATTAGATCTTCATATTGTTCTAATAATGGGCCAATGACAGGGTGGTATCGGTATGTAGAATCGAGATAAGGATCGCACTGGCTTGTTGGTTCTGGAACTGAGGCTGCATCTCGGTTTTTCTTCTTGTTTGACGTGTAGAACAGCGGGAATGTGGAGAGACGGTGGCTGCACGAAGCCAGCGAGGGCTGTGATTGGTCTTGAAACGGTAGTGGTTGCGCCTGGACAAGTCTGAAGCCGTCAATTGTATGTATCCATTCAATGTGCCTTTGAAAACCATAGGCCGACAAACTGAATCTGGCATGGATCATGGACCGTGATTGTGGCAAACTCGTAGGGTTGAGTTTGGAAATGCCACGCGTGGAGGAAATCGAGGAAATCCGGGACGGCGCCGAATCAGCATCCGTCCCTTCCTATTGTTCTCCAACAACAATACTAACCACACCACCACTCGCTTACAACTTTGACCTTTGGGTCGGTCCACAAAACACAAATCTATAAAGAAACATCCAATTTCATTGCTGCTAAGCCATAACCAAAAGAATGAACTAGATTACTCCTTCAGGTGTAAATCGGCTCCGTCAATTCGTTCAGTGTCAGACCTTCCTTGGCAACATCCTCCTCGATCAGAAACATCAAAGGCATTTCAACTAGTGTTCCCTTAACCTGACTGAGCAGTTCTTTCACCTGCTTGACACCCTCAGGGCCCGGAGGGAAGTCATCCCGTACCACATGTCCGTATTCGTACCGAGCAGGCTGGGAGTCGTCCTTGCCATATGCCTGCTTGTCTGCGTTGTGGAAGTAGTATCCATAGAATTCCTTGTAGGTGGCCCAGTTCCGGACTTGGTCATCAGGAACCGAGTGAAAGACCTTCCGGAACACCTCAGTGTTCGTTCTGGCCCGAGTGTTCCACATGCTATGCATTGTGTCCGCCAATGGGTCGGCCACAATCTGGCTTTCTGGAGAGTCGGCATCGAATGTATTTGATACACCCACGGGCTCGAAGTTGGCATCGGGACGTTCTGGATCCTGCGGTGGCAAGAGGCCAAGGTGCTTACGGAACAGGTATCTCCGGAGAGAAGCGGCAAATCGACTCGCGCTCCATGGCTGACCGTTCATGCGGGACTGGATAGGGGTGTAGTCTTCAATCACGATGGCAATCTCAGAGTCGTGATCACCCAGCTGGGAGCGATCGTTCAAGTTGGCAGATCCAACGATAGCAACCCGATCGTCGGCAATCATAACCTATACTTCCGTTAACTTGGGTGTTCACACAATCATAATTAACACTTACCTTGGAATGGATGTAAAGTTCTTCGGTGACAAATGCGTCGATTTCAGCCTCTGCAGGTCCTTCCCACGGCACGTTGCGGATATCTGTACCATTCAACATGTAACATTCGCTGACACTATCCCACCGACCAGGGGCAGACTTGGTGCTAGAGACCTGTTGAGCAGCCTGCTGGTACTGTTGGTAAGGGGCGGTGGTGTCAAAGGCCGCGCGAGGAGCACCCGGTCCATAGCCGCCCGGGCCAGCTGTGGTCAGGTCGTGCTCCTTGCGGGCTTCCTCGTAGTTCACACCACTTCTGTTCTCCGCCTGAAGCAATGGGCCGCTGACATTGATTCGGTCGTAGTTGCGCAGGTTGTAGAACCGGATGTAATCCATTGGGTTATATCCTTCTTTGGCAATCAATTCCATGATACTACTGCCTCCACGGTTGATGCAGTTATACTGGAACTCCATGATGGCCCGAGTGCCCAGAGTAGATTCATCGCTCAGGTCTCCCGCAAAGCAGGGAACGGATGGGAGAACAACAACAATCTTGTACTTCTCGCCCGCTCTTGCAGCACGAAGAATACGCTCAACAATCGCAGCTCCGATCTTATTCTGAACAGGCTTCTGAGCATCACCAGTTGCAGTAATGAAGAACTGGTTTTCGATGTAAACGAAATGCTGACTGTTACGGATGATAGCTGCGTACGCGTCGGCGATGGAATGCTCAGTAGGCGTTCCGTTGCTCCACTTGGAAGCACTGCGCACGATCTGACAAGTCATGTTCCCGCGTGGCTGAGCACCTGGACGATAGTTTATACGATCCTGGTAATGATGAATTTGGCCAGCCAATTCACCACGAAGAACATTGCCGTAGCCTGTGAGGTTCTCCTTGATACCACGGAAGTTGAAACCTCTCTCGGAGTCGCCGTATGCATGACCTCCGCTGTGGTAGTCGTGGAGACCGCGGGTTTGCGAGTGCTGGCCCTCTTGAGTGGGGGGAGGAGGGTAAGCCTGATTTTGACCTTGGCTTGGAGAGTATGACTGGTATTGAGATTGAGATTGGGTCTGTTGGTGAGGATAAGCTTGACTCTGGGGCTGGGTGGGTGTCTGCTGTTGAGAGTATGCTTGACTTTGAGGTTGTGTGTAGCTCTGCTGGTGAGAGTATGTTTGATCCTGAGGCTGGCCATAGCTCTGCTGCTGGGCTGATGTAGCGGCCTGGCTTGAAGGAGGCCCAGGGGGGGGCGGAGGGAACGAGTCACCAGTGTAAGTATATTGGTGCTTCTCATCGTGACTTGGTGTATACGCCTGGTTTGGTGTGTATGCGGGTGGAGCCTGTTGCTGCCAGCTGGAGTCTGCCTGAGAGCTGGGGTGGGGCGAGGTAGCCTGATAGCCACTTTGATGAGACTCGGGCTGTTGCTGCCAGCTTTGAGTATGCTGGATATTGCCAGAATAAGCACCAGGTTGAGGAGATGTGGGCTGCTGCTGGTGCTGCTGCTGCCAACTAGAGGTGCTTGGAGTGGCAGGCTGAGCGCTACCGCCATAGGAAGCAGTCTGCTGAGGGCCTTGCTGTTGATGAGCTTGTTGCTGCCAGGTAGGGGTTGCCTGGCTGCCGGCGCCAGATGACTGAACATTGCTGGATTGTGCAGCGGGCTGAGGAGATGCGGCATGTTGTTCCCAGCTAGGAGTGGAAGGGCTTGGGCTGGTCGGCAGAGCCCCGGGCTGGGCCGTGAATGTCTGCTGCCAGCTAGGAGTGGAAGGTCCCTGGTTCGGCGCTGCAGGCTGCTGAGTTGGCAGCTGCTGCTGACCCTGCTGTTGGCCCTGCTGTTGGCCCTGCTGTTGGCCCTGCTGTTGGCCCTGCTGTTGGCCCTGCTGTTGGCCCTGCTGCTGACCTTGTTGGGGGCCCATAGAAGAAGTAGGGCGACCGTACAAGTTCAGCTTTGCGTATCTGGGATTATTGCGCGAGTAATACTTGAGGTCATAAATGAAGTTCCAGCGCTCGACAAAGTGTCGTCTCAGATCCTCGACGACCTGTCCATGCAAGCTGACTGAGATGTCTGACCAGCCCATGCGGGAGGTCTTCTTCCGATCTAACTGGTTCTTCTCCCAGTTGGCTACATCCTGGAAGTCAAGCACTCTAGCGTTATTGTAATCCTGACCAGGGAAGACAATTTCGTTCAAGTCCTGGCCATGAACATCGGCGAGGGCGTGCTGGTTGGTGTCCCAACGGCCGAAGCACATATCCAAGCCACCCATGAATGCCACACGACCATCGATGAGGCAAAGCTTCTCATGATGGGCCCAGTAAAGGATGACATCTTCGTGCATACCATAGATTCCCTTGATGGTATCCGCGGACATCTTAGCCAAATTGCCTGCATCTAATGACAGGCTCTGAAGGGAAGATGCGATAGAAGCTTCCAGCTCCTGACGATCGGGGAGATGGTCAGGGTGACGGAACACCGAGATGTTCTGATGGAGATCCTCCAGATGATGCTTTGTGTGATGGGATGAAACTGTGATTCTGAGTTAGCTATAAAGACCTAGCGTACGGTACTCGTTTGGAACATACGTGTCAATGCCTGAGTCACCTCCTTATAGACAATAATGTTGACGCGAACGCCTCGCTGCGCAGCAGCCAGCAGCATTCGATCCAGTCGGTACTGCTCATTCTTCGCTGGAGGACGTCTCAGATAAAGTTCTGGCGACAGCCACCCTGATTTTCACGTCAGTCAAACGTCCATCAACTCGCGACTGACACTTCCAGAAGCTTACAGTCCAAAATCCAGATATACTCCTTCGCACTCTCCAAGGCCTTGGAAACAGCATAGAAGTATGCACATCCATCAACATGCCACTTGACCTCGTTGCCCTGACGTTCGGGTGCAAAACTCCCAAAGCGGTTCTGCGTCTGTGGCTTGGTCGATCCATACTGCTCATAAGCCTGGGGATCCAAGGCAGTTCCAATCTTCTGTGCGAACTCATTCCCGAGGTTCTCCAATTTCCCGAACAATCCGGAGAGCTTGTCCTGCTTTTGGGGTTTCTGGGTTTGCTGGTGATAGGTTGACTGCTGGTGCTGGTACTGTTGCGGGCTGGTGTTTCCGTACGACGGCGGGTATTGCTGGGCGGAACCTTGGGTCTGAGACTGGGTTTGGTGGTACTGGCCCTGGCTCTGGGGTAAACAACTCAGCGTTCAGTACGTTGAAAATGGTGCCGTGCCTGAGATTCCTGATTTACCTGCTGCGAGTTGCTGCTACTGCCCTGCTGCTGGTGGCTCTTGTAGGTTTCCTTCAATTTCTGGAAAGTGTCGCCGACAAATCCCCGCGCGGTATCGCCGGATGTGCCCCGCGCTGAGTCGCCGTAGTAGTGGCCATAGGCCAGGTCTTCCTCACGTTGGGACATGGGGACAACAGTTGAACCTGGATATGAGAGTAGGGTAGATGGTGTAACAATAGACAGAATAAAAAGAGAAAGGATGCTGACCGCCACGAGGGGGAAAGGATAGTTGTTATTATTATGTAGTCGCACGGAGGGTGGGGGAGGGGATCATCTGAGGCAGGAGGAATACGGAGTACGGTTTAGGGGAATACGGGGCTAAACCACGACGGTAAGACCGGCCCCGCCAGTCCAGCTTATCCACTTCCACTCTCTAGGCTTCCTTCCGCCTGGACTGGTTTGTCTGTATTTCCGTCTGCTCGGCCACTGTTGGGTGGTGGTATTTCACTGGTGCAACTGTTCTCTGCGAGTGGCTAGTTGTCAACAGCATCTATCTACACATCTTCCTGTCGTTGTTCTATTTTACGACCACCCAGAATCGAGTGTGGCCTTGCAGGGCGGGGGCGATGCATCCTCACCTTTCTAGATCGCTGCAGTGTGGCTGTGCCGGCAATCATGGCGGGGGGAATCCCCAGTTAGCTTGAAACAACAGCCGTACGGACCTTACCTCCTGACAGCCTCTGATGACGCATGACGTTACGGTGCTTTCAGCCCCTCTAGTGACTGTGGCTTATGTGGCCCTGCCACACCGCATCGCGCTCCCGAGCAATGCGTCGCGCAAGCCCATTCAACATTTTACGCCGAGAGCGCTAAGAATGCTGAGCTAGAACGCTCAACTCCTGAGCGATCTTGGCACACGGGAATAACGCGGTCTTGTTGTTCCCCAATCCTGAGACATGATCCACTTGCTTGGGTATAACAACAACCAAATATGCGGTCACATACTCCTTAACGAGAACAGATTCAAATGTCTAACGCTGCTCGAACACAGCTTTCAAAAATTGAGCAGTGCTTCTTAGGACGATCAGATGTTGTGAAATCCGCGACTATCCGACCATGCGCGAGCCGGACAACAACCAGCTTTCCGCGGCCGGATCCACTTCTTCATTAGCGCAACCCTCCTTCGACCCTCAGCGTTCTGGAATGCACCGCCAGATGTTTCTCGAACTTCTCCGCAACGTGTCCGCGTTGAGGACCCTTCGAAGGCGGCAAATAAGACAGATTACTGCCAATTCTAGCAGGGAAAGAGCGTTGCATGGATGACATCGCACCCGGTCTCTTGGCCACTTTTTGCTGAGCGTGAGGAGCTCGTTTGCTGTCAGGTGAAGTTAAAGTCCTGCCATTCGATGTCTGGACTAGTAGCAGTCAACTCTACCGGGAGAAGCAGACGAAAATAATGTGTTCCTTCTTGGGGAAGTAGCGGGCAAGAAGGATTATTCGTTGAGCAAGGAGGAAGTGTACTAGTATGCCAGAACAATGACCAAACCAGATTCTTGAAGATTTTCTCAGTATGTCTGGCATTTCAATCCCAATACAAGGGGCTTGGAACAAGAAAGAGCACAGCTCACTGTAAAGGAGTTTCCGATGACATCCGGGGCTTTGGGGCACTTTTAAAACGTGCATTTGTCGGTGTCTTTTTGTTGAATATTGTGCAAGATATATTCTCATTATTGTTCATCAGAAACCAAATCAAAAGCAATAGTCTACTGTGGGAAAGTAGGTGCTAGTGACCCAGAACACAAAGTACTCAAATTTCGCGACTTGTGGCAGCAAATGGGCACCCAAAAGGTAACACATTGAGAATGGCGTCATTGTTCTGGTTGCACCTCGGTATCATCGGATAGAGAGCAACCCCGCACCGAGATGGAACAGCAAAAGCTGCTGAATTTCTTCAATTGCAATTCAAGTCAACGCCTCTAACAAGGAGATACAAAGACAAAGATGTAAAGATGGCTAGCTGTAATAGAAAGTCCAGATATAACCACGGTGTAGATAAGATCTTCGCTGTCATGTCGTGTCAAAACCTAAAGTTCTCCCTGGAGTAGCAGCAAGCGCTGCCCCTCACTGACAAGCCCCCCGCAGCAGACGGACCCCGCACCGCAGTTGGAGAAAGCAGAGCAGCAACAATTATTTAAGAATGACATCGGCCCATATCTTGACAACTTGCTGTTTTATCCTGCCCTGCTACCATTGACCCTCTGAGACCTATCCCCAAAGAACGTCATCTAATCAGTTGTAACCCCAAATCAACATCACAATGTCTCTCGCAACTCTCGACGTAAGTAAGCCCGGACAAAACCGACGAACGTCGATGACGTTCGTTCCACCAAGGAAGTCATTCCCGCACGTACTAATCATCGGCGCATCACCAGGTTTCCCAACACCCCTACCTCCCCTCCGCCTCCGAGACGCTGTTCAAGGCCAAGGCATCCAAGAAGCTGAGCTTCGAGCAAATCGCCGAGCACATCGGTCGCAACGAGGTTGCCGCGGCCGCCCTTTTCTACGGCCAGGCCAAGGCATCCCCCGAAGACATCGACAAGCTGTCCGCCCTCCTGGACATTCCCCGCGATCTTCTGGAAGAGCAGCTCAGCGGCTTCCCGGATCGCGGCCGCTCGGTCGAGATGCCGCCCAAGGAGCCGCTGATCTACCGACTGTATGAGATTGTGCAGAACTACGGGTACGCGTACAAGGCCGTTCTGAATGAGAAGTTCGGGGATGGGATCATGAGCGCCATCTCATTCTCGACCAAGGTCGAGAAGGAGACGGACGAGGCCGGAAACAACTGGGCTGTTATTACTTTGAGAGGAAAATGGTGTGTCAACTGGATTGTTCATTTCTTGCAGGAGACTTGCTAACTGAAACTGCGTCAGGTTGCCTTTCTCGCGGTTCTAGGTATGATTATGTGATTTAGGGAGGCGGTAGTGATTGAAATGCATGTAAATAGTATTTGAAAGAGATGCGATTGTATCTGTTCCTGCGCATGACTTTCATTCCGATGTGTAGTGGCAATGCGCAAAACAAAGAATTCACAGCCGGCGTCGAACAACACCTACCTTCACCCGCCAGATTGGCCGTGTGTCACAGTGAGGTGAGAATGGTCTCTACAACACGCGATCCTCACGCATCCACCTCATTGACTGACTCACCTTGCAACTTCCTCAACCTTCTGTCCTGATCTCTCCAAATGCCTCATTCCTTTCATCTGTTATTTTAGTTCCTACTCCTATCTTACTAAACAGGGGCATCGAAGATCTCACTTGAAGTCCTCAACTATTTGTCTACGGCCATTGTAGCCTACCTTCCCGTCTTCCTCTTTCAAACCCAGTGTATTCAGAACTATCCATAATGTCCGCTCATCCAGGTCACCAGGCAGGTCCCTCCAAGGTGATCAGCGCCAGCGCCAGCGCAAGCCGCCACGGTGCCACTCGCTCAGGAGCAGCCCCCCTCAATGCAGGCCGTGTTACTACGGGACCTTCTCGCACAGGAGCCCCTGATGATGGCCGTCCCATCAAAGGTGGCCCTCGGGCTGGCCCTGCTCCTGTAGTGAAATCTGGTGGAAAGCCCAGTAGGTCAGGTCCATGGCAAACAAACCAGCCAGGGGCCGAACCATCTCGTGCAGGTCCCTCGGTCACAGCAAAACCCGGTGCAAAGTCCAATGGTACAAAACCCTTGAATCTCCGTCGCTTCGTCCCAGAACCCTCTCGCGCAAAGCCTCCTGCTGCAGGACCAACCAGCGCAATAGGTCGCCCAGCTGCAGGCTCTACCACCAGAGGCCGTGATCCCACCAGTCGTCCCATCGCCGAGCCTGCCTGCACACAACCTCCTACCACCCAACCTTCTGCCAAAGTCGGAACTGCAGGAATACCCTCAAGCACAAAACCTCTCGAGCCCACCAGAGTCTCCTGCACGTACGCCAAGTGCGGCAAGCACTTCCCCAGCAAACGAGACATGGACATTCACAAGATCACCGAGCACGAGTACTGCGAGCGGTGCGACGAAGATTTCCCGGATGAAGAACGCTTGCTTCTCCACAAGATCACCAGCGTCAAGCACATCGTGTGCCCCGTCTGCGGCCTGGAATTCCACAGCTCGGGTGGCCGGGACGTCCACATTCGTCAGGTAAGTGGCAAGAAAAGCTTCCGGCCATAAAAGAGCGAGCAGCGAATCAACCCAAAAACTGACACAATCCGTATCGGCAACAGAACCATCGAGCAGAACAGACCATCAAATGTCGCGGCTGCACCATCACCTTCAAATCCGCCAGCGCCCTGATGCAGCACATCGAGAGCAACGGATGCCGCAGAATCCCACGGGAGCGCCTGCTCCAGCAGCAGGAAACCCGCTCGATGATCGCCGAGATCCTGGACGGCGACCGGCCTATCCGGCCCGAGGATATCGACAACGACGACGGCGGTGTCATGCTGGATGGGACTCCGCTGAAGTCTCCCGTCAGCCCCAAAAGAAGTCCGAAGAACAAAACGCCCGACGCGAGATCGCCCACCAGCACCTCCCCCAGCCCTAGTGCAGGAATGGCGGCGATGGACTCTCTCTGCCCGCGGCATCAGCCACAGAAGCAGCAAGGTATGCCCTCCTCGCCCTTGAGCATGGCAGAGAAGAGCATGGCGACCGCGATGTCGCGACTCTCGCTGAACGAGGCCGACGCCGACGCCAGCGACAGTGCGCTCGTCCCGCTCCCCACAGCCACCGAGCTCGAACACGACCAGACAATGCAGTGGAGCCTGTTCGGCAAGCCGGTCGCCTCGGCCGGCGAGATCCTCCAGATGATTACCCCGGGCTGGGACTCGAGCAAGTTCCTGAACATGTGCCGTACGCGCTACGTCTGTCACTGCCGCGTGAGCTACAAGCGGGTGGAGGATTTCGAGACGCATATCATCGAGGAGATGCGCGATAAGAAACCATTGGGGTGAGTGAGATCTTATCTTTCTCCACCCCTTCCCGTCCATTCGCTCGTCTTGGGTACAAGACTAACAAAACACTTCCGGAAACAGATGCCCCAGATGCTTCCGCAACTTCAAACGCTCGTCGGACCTAGTCGCACACATGGAGACCGGGAGCAATCGCTGCAGCGTGGCCTCCGGGTCCGCCTACCATCAGGTTCTGGATCAGTTAACCGGCGGGGTGGTCCGCGTCGCCGGCACGCTCCAGGACGGCACTATCAAGTATGAAGCCGGCAACGTGGAACCGCTGTACGAGCCGGACGACGAGACCACTCTTGCTGGGATCGATACGAGCTACACATTCAGAAACCCCGTCTGGTGATCGTGGCGGGGGGGGTTCAATCGTTTATCGGTCATTGATTCTCAGGACGCTTGCACTCGGAGGGAGAGTTGGGTCTTGAATTGACACTTTGCGCTGTTGTTTTCTCATTTGTGGTTTTCACCTGGTCTTGAACTTCCCTTACCAGTCTCATATGCATTTACAAAATAATTACGTTGCATCCCTTTCTTTCATCTGATTATTCCGAATCGGTTCCTAATCTCCTTTGTCTTTCAATATCTCATCATCTCAACAACAAAAAACAAAAATCATCTACTCTCCGCTGCACCCGCATATCTACAGCACAGCATATCGCAGTACTCAGTTACCCCAAACTACCCAATCCAAACCCCCTCCGAGCCAAATCCCATGAAAAAGTGCAAATAGCATAAAGATAATTCTCATAACCCATGTCGAACGTGTAAAAAAAAAAGGTGGGGGTATAAACATCAACACCACAGGAAAACAACAACCACCTGTATATCCAACACGAGCGCAACCTCGATCCCCGCCCGCTAGCCTTTCCCTTCCGTCAAGTTCATCGATCATCGTCCATCGCAGAGAGTAACTTCATCTCGCGCATATAGCAGAGAATCCCATCGCTCTCCACTCCTTCGAATCCCCAAAGGTCCTCGAGTCTAGCAACACTCCTCACAGCACTCGAAGCACATCAACCCCGCGCACCTAGTCCAACCCACGGCGTTAGTTTTATTTTTCCACGAGCACATCTAGACCTCAGGCTGTTTGGACGAGAGAAGGGAGAGGGAAACGTACACGCCACAGCAAACGCCGCCGGCACCACCGCCGCGGAGGTTCATGTGCATTTGTTCTTGGGTGGACTGCAGACCATATCGTTAGCTTGCTTTTTCTGGGAGTGGATCCATGCGCTGCGGGGAAAGAGACAGGCGCAAGGACAAGGGTAAGGACAAGGGCAACAACGCACGGGCTGCTCGGTGACGACGCGCTCGGTGGACGGGGCCTGGGGGCTCGAGGGCTGCTGCATGGTCATCATGGTGGCCGTGTTGGGGTTCCAGGTGGGCGCCGCGCCCTCGGCGGCGGTGGAATCCTTGGTGGACTTGAAGAGGTTGAACATTGTGATCGAGTGGGGGGGGGGGGTTGATGTAGGAGTTGTAGGTTTTATTTAGTCTGTAAAGATAAACACAGAGAGAGAGAGAGAGTGTGTGTGTGTGTGTGTGTGAGTGTGAGATGAGACGGGGATAAGCTGACACGGCACGGGCACTGCAAGGGTATTTATGTGGGAGACTCTTCCAGGTTCACTGTCAATGTCAATGGTTTAGTTCGGTTTCAATTTCAATGGGTCAGGGGTCCGTCTCGACTCTCCAGCCCTGGAGGGCGGGCCCCACGGTGCACTGCACGAGTCCACGGTGTCGCGGGCGGTGGTTGAGCGTATCGAGTACGGTACCGGTACTGGTACAGTGCCCAAAACAGCCAGTCACAGCCACGAGATGCTCCACGTCAGCGGCTCAGCCCTGCCGCGCTTGCGTTTCTATTGGTGGGGCAGGGCAGGGCACTTTTTCGATCAATGTCATGGGATTTGTACGAGATCCCCAGCACCAGCACGCAACAATGCTTCCTCTCTAAACTTAGAAATCAATTACTGAACTATGAGTATCCAGCCAGTCCGCCCAAAGAAGGAGACGCTATGCATCACCGCTAGTACCGGATGATCATGCCCTGAAAACTACACACACCTCCCACTCCCACCTGCACTTGACCAGAGCAACAGCCGATCACTTCCTCCTCCCGCCAAAACTCTACCCGATTTGCAGCCAACCATCCAAGCTCCACTAACCTCAACCGCCAAGACCGCCAACCCCCCTTCTTCGGATCAACGAGGCCAGGAAAATAAATCAGGCAGCCTCAATATTTCGCCCGTAATCGTTTTTTTTCCCCCCCCCCCCCGCCCGCCCGGGCTTTTCCGCCGAGCGATGCCAAGAACCTAAGAGCCACTATCGCCGGTCCTAAGCAAAACTCCCCGTCAAGCTTCCCGAGGTTGATGAAAAGCTTTTCGCTGGATTTTTCTTGGGGCGCACGTCGTGCAAAACGACGAACGTGCTATTCTTAGCAAGAATGGTGATTGAAGGGTGCCTAACTGTGTCCGGTGGCTGAAGTGTTCCTGAAACCACTGGTTAACCGGTTCGGCACGGTGGAATCATTCGAGAAGGACTCCCAAAAAAAATGAACCCAACCCCGGATCAGCAGAATCGAATGGAGGGCTATGATCCATCCGTCCCCTTGCATTGCTTTCTCTGTGGGCGACTGGGCGACTGGGCGACTGGGTCCGCTGGAGGCAGAAACATTTCCCCCTGCTACGCGATCATTGGTTGAGCATGGTTGAACCCTCAAATTACCGTTGCGGTGACCCCGAGCTCTAAAGAACTAGCCCTGAAGAAATTTGATTATGGTGAATCTCAGGGCCTTCAGGTAAACAAAATCTAAACTCACCTGACCCCGTCGAGGCAACCACCGGCAATTCGGCTATTTGTCGCTGCCAGTTTTGGGAAATGGGTCGGCTCTCGTCGCTCTCTAACGTGTGGCTGTGTGCCTTGGGGCGCGGCCTCGGAGCCAAAGCCACACACCGCTTGCGCGGCAAACCTGCTTGATACGTACGGCAAAGAAAGTCTCCCTTTGGCGCCCAGGGTTCTAGGTTCTGAACATTGGGTGTCAATTGGGAAGAGTGGGAAAGTCGGCCATTACATTCGAGTGCACGAAACCCCGATGCAGTGTATGAGAACGCGATGTGCTAGCCGTTGTCACCCCAAATGTGACAACGGACATTAGCGCGGTTGGGGCCGAAAGCCGCGCGCCAGACTCATGTCTGTGGATGAAACACCAGTCATCTATCGACTGGTCTGGATTCTGCCAGTCATTATCTCTCAATCGGAGATCATTGGCAGTGCCCTGTCAATCGTAGTTACCCGCTGCGGAGATGACACATATCCTGTCTCAGGCATCTGTCTAGTGGTACAACCCGGGCCCGCTGACGACTTAACGGCTCTGCTCCTAGATACAAAGCGAGAAACTGTGTTCCAATTGAAACATTACCCACCCTCAATCCTGGTATACCATAACTTTACAACATCTCTGCTCAGATATCAAGATCCGAAAGCCAACGTTCTTTCCACTGTTGCAACCACGTCTTGAACAGCTCAATATCGACAGGCCCGATCTTGCTCATGACTGTACTCTGAGCAATGGCGTTTGTCGTTTCAAGAGGTGCGGCATTGGCACCCTGCTGATCCAGCAGACTCCGGAAAAACCCCAGCAATGGAACAGCCGGCAGACCTTCGAGACGTTCACGACTCGTATCATCCGAGATTTGTTGCAAAGCATTGATCCATTCTTCCAGCGAAACCACCGTAGCTTTACACGCCTTAGCCACCAAGGGAGCAAACAACTCCCAATCTTTTGGCTCAGGGTTGACAATGTGGTACACCTTGAGGCCGGTAAGACCCTGCTTCTCATAGCGGCATTGAACGATCTGCACAATAGCTTGAGCAGCTAGGTCCTGTATATCACCAGAATGTCAGCAACTGCCGAATTGTGTGAAGACATGCCAGGATGTGTTACTCGGAAGCTCAACAACTTACAATCGGGATCCAATTAACCTTCATTGTTCCCAAAGAATCTGGAAGCTGGCCGATGGTGATTGATGAGCAGACCATCGCCGGAAACCAGTCCCGCGAGGTCCACATTCCTCCTTTGGGGGATGACGGACCGCCCAACTGGCCGATACGGTGGATGCTGATAGGAAGGTTGCTGCGCTGGGCTGCGATTTCGCAAAGTGACTCGGCGACGTATTTCGACTCAGCGTACCCCAGTTCTTGCACCACGGAGGCGTCATGCAGTGTTTCAGGAATTGTTGATCCATGTGACGCTTGCCATGACCCGACCGTCGACACAGATGACATATAGTGCAGGTGAGCCCGGCGAGGGGACTCCTCAACCAGGCTCAGAAGGCGTCGCAGCCCCGTAAGCATAGGACTCTCGAAGGCTTTCAAGGGTTTATGGAAATCGACGGGCCAGGCGTTGTGGATGTAGACGTCCGCTGTGTCCCGCAGATGACGATATTGAGCAGGTGTTAGCCCCAGCATGTCATCGCCTAGGCTGACCTGCCAGAAGTGAACCCGTGAGGTTTCTGTAACCCACCCATCTGACAAGCCCCTTTCCTGGAAGCTATTCACCTGTCGATCAGCTGCATCCGCGCTACGGTTGAGACAATATATATCTCCGACCGACGGATTCTGCAACAACTGATGGAGCAGGCGACTCCCAAGATCACCCGTCGAGCCCGTTAGCACTACCGTTATACCGCCGTGGCCAAGGTGTTGAGAGTGATTCCAAATAGAATGGACAAGCCGATCAGTTCGCGTCCATTGAGAATCTGGATTGCTTTTGCTAGACTTGTCATCGCCAACATGTCGACTAAGTCTGTCGGCAAGAGCTTGGACGGAGCCTGCTTGGTATATTTCGTTGCTTGACCAAGTCAGAGTTTTCCCAGAAGGGTGTAGTTTCTTCGATGCATGCTGCAACATCCTCGACAATTCAGTCACCTGCAGTGAGTCGATCCCGCTATCGACTAGGTCATCAGTTTCACCAACGTCCTTCAAACGGAGTCGTCGGGAGAATACTTGTAAGAGCCATTCCTGGAACGCGTCCCGATCCGAGCCCTCAGGATATGCTCCATCATTGGTATCGTGCGCGTTAGAACCGTTTGAGTCTTCAGGCTCATACATTGAGTCCAGCACGGACTTGTAATCATTTGCGATCTCGCGACGGCGCAATGACCCCTTGGGGGACCGAGCGAATGGTTTATCGCAAGACGTTAGAGCTATGTGGGTGTCGAAAATCCGTGCATAAGCCGGAAGTGCCTCATTAGCCTCATCCAGAAGTGACTCAAGCTGCTGTCGGAGCCATTCCTCAGTCCAGTCCTTAGGAAGATCATCCCACTGGGGTTCCAGAAGCAACGCGGCTTGATGGCGGTCCTGGGCAAAGACCGCCGCGCGCCTGATCAGCTTGTGGCTCTCGAGAATCTTTTCAGCTTCGATAGGATTGAATTTCTCTCCGTTGCCCATGACAATTATGTCGTCGCCTCTGCCGCTGAAATGCCAAAGACCGGATTTCGTTGGATGAGGCGTGAGAAGATCGCCCGTGCGGTACTCAGACAGATCCGGATAGGAATAAAAGATTCCGTGGTATTTGCGTGACTCAGGCCTGGGTATCACCAGCTCAAAGAGTCCTTTCTCGACTTCGTCCATCCGCGCCCCAAAGGCGGGAACCCATTCGAGATAATCCCAATCGTCTGGATCCTCGCAGAGCAAGGCGGGCGTCCATCCCGTCTCGGTACTCCCAAGCATAGTCTGTAGACGTGCGAGCGATGACAATTGTTTCCCGGCGGATTGTGACATTGGCGCGCCGCCGTAACCCACGTACTCAAATTGCGAAAGTGCTTCCCGGCCGCTCTCCTGTCCTCCGAGGTCTTCAAGTACAGGTGCAGCTAGCAATGTCCGTTTGGGGTGATGGGCAGACACGATCTGTGCAAACAGATCAGGGTCCAATGGGCGGTCAGGTGCGAGGACAAATGGTGCCCTAAAGTAGATACACTCTGTGATGCAGACAAGGCCGAGGAAATGGAACATAGGGCCATAGTGAAATCTTAATTTCCCAGTCGCTCGCAGATGACCTTGAGCGAGCTTTCGTCCCTTCGGCACAGGGATGGTCTGGATATTCTCAAGAGCGGCGAGATAACCGTGCGGTACGTTGATAACCTTGGGTTTTCCCGTTGTTCCAGAACTATGCATGATGATCGGGGTTATATCCTCGACGGCGGCGAAATCGTGCTCGTGCTTGTAAGGGTAGTTGTCGCTGGGTGCATCCTGGAAGACTTCCCAGAGTGACGGCATATTCCATTTCTGGAACCCCTCTGAGCGATTGCTCTTGACTTTGTCCAGCATCTGTCGCAACTGCTGCTTGTTGCTGGCGTCGACCATCACCGAGCAATCTGTGGCGTCGAGCAGATGCTGGAAGGCGGAATGAGAGTTCCGGGTGGAGAGAAGCAATACCTATGTTGTATGAGCTTTCTGATTATCAGAGAAATCATGCTTCACGAACCGTGTTCCCTGTTTTCATGCACGCCAATATGAACGCTGCGTATCGCAAATCATTGTTACCTATATAGGCGAGAACATGTCGCTTCTTCTTGGCCCTATCGCCCAGCTGCTGGTCAATCCAGAAAGCAACGCGATTGACAGCGTGGGCTAGATCCTGGCAGGAGATGTTTCGCCAACCATCTGCTGAGTTTATCGAAACTGGATGGATGCAGAACAGTTCGTCTGGCCGAGTTTCTGCTAACTCATCCACCACCTGGTGTAGGAGCCGGCCCGGAGTAGCTTCTGAACCCATTTTCGATATACGGAGAAGATAATGTTAAAACAAGTTACTGAAACACGATCTGAGAAGGATATCTGAAGGCTGGATACAAAGCGGTTGGTTATATGCACAATTGCCTTTTCCGCAGAAGTGACGGCATTGTAGCCTGCAGTGCGCGACACATTCCTCATGGCGTATATCAGGGACAACACGACTTGTCTCTAATGGCTGTTTTCTCGCAGCTGCATCGAGATATGACACCTGCTGGCAAGGTCTCGACGTCATCAAAGTCTAAATTCAGGGTCCATCCGCTGCCGACAAACGTCTGACTGGATGGGAATTATAATCGCGGCAATAATGGTTCAGCCGAATACTGAGTTGCTGGTTTCGCAGAAGCTTGGACTAGACCATTCGGAAGTCCCATTGAGTTTCTTCTGGTGGTACTCTTATGAGCCGCTCCAAGGAAATCCGTCAGAGATTAGTCTAGTTGCAAGGTTTCGGTCACGGTTCGGAGCCGGTAGGTCAGGGACTTCGCATACCACGTACCACGAGTTGTGTATTTGATTTCCATCTCATCAAGTTCTTTTAACGGATCACAGCAGCTCTGTCACTTGCTGCCAATTTCCCGATTGATCGAATGAGAGAGCGAAAAGGGAAGGGTGCAGAATATCCGACGCAATGATATCAGGTGGTTGATGTAGTAGATTCCGAGAATAGAAAGGATGACCACATTCCAATCCAGATAGCATTCCGTCCGTGGTTTTCTGCAGGTTCTGTCCGCGCTTGCCCGATGCGGTATACAGCTACCAAGAACTGCCATTAATGGCAATGCATCCTCAAGATGCGAGATGTGATGAAGAGATAGATGCTGGTACGTTGTCGAACGGCGAACGGAACAGTCCCAGTGCAGGGGGACCCGAGCCGTTCTCCGAGTCGGGATCATAGGTAGGATACTCTGAATCCTCCTCATCGGGCGGGAACCAGCATTCCTCCTCTTTTAACCGAACTAAAAACAAAAAAATACGTAGGCGTTGCCCGAGTTTCTAAACATATGGAGCAGTGTTGAGTGCCCTTCATTTCTACATTATATTGGTTAATTTGGTCGGTCTGTAGCCGGCAAATTCTATCCTTGATGAAATCAAGCTGATAGCGGCAGTGTTTGCGAAATTCAAGAATCGTTTCTTGATCATGATCTTGAGTGGCCATATCCATATTTCAAGCTAATAGTTAGGAGGAAGAATGAATGCAAGGAAAGTGTGGGGGGTGGAGTTTGAGCAAAGGAACGGAGTCCAAGGTGGGAGGCATCATGGCATAACCAACGCCAAGGCGCACTGCATGGAAGACGTATTGAAACCAAGCAAATGGACTCAAGAAGCTACATTGTTTGAAAAATTTATTTGAGTAGTGATCTCAATCTCAAAAATGGTTGTTATTTTTGTTGAACTCTATCAGTCTCTGATGTTCTTGTCAAGCCCGAACATAATCCAGATCTCTATTCCTGAGAACAGAAAACAGTGGTTAATCAAGAGCAAAAAGGACTCGAGAAGAGTATAACACTATAAGACAGCAAGACTACCGATAATACCGACTCCAAGCCCCCTCAAGACTGACAGCAGCTTAGAAGCCACCTCCACCCTCACAGCCCGGAACACTATAGACCCCCGTCACCCAAAGTACCGTATCAATCGGCCACCAGAGCGAGGTCACAAGCATTGCAATCATCCAAGCATAGTCCAGGTAGCCGAGGTCAAGGGGGGGATTACACTCGATGAATTCACTCAAGAACCCCCTCACCATTAGCAAGATCAGCCAGCTCGACTTGAAGATCGCTAGGACCCAGTGGTGAGCCACAAAGTGGTCGATGCCCCCGACCCACCCCAGAAACCCGGCGAGGTAGGCGATGGTCGCCCGCTTGTCGTAGCAGCCGTCGTGGGGCTTCAAGCGTGGGTCCTGCTCCCGGATGGTGGTGAGAACCAGGGCGCACAGGAAGAGCCCTACCATGGCGAGGAACCACGTGCTGATGCATGCCGGGATCCAGAACTTTGAGCTGCACAGCCAGGACCGACACCCGCGCCTGATTCGGAACCGGCAACGGCGGCGGTCCTGCTTGGTCCTGGGATTGCTATCGCTGGCAGTAATGGGCTGAGGTTGCTCCTCGATGTCTCCCTCGGCGACGGGCTCAACTGAGATCGAATTGATCGTAGGTTGAGTACCCATGCGGTTGGATTGAGGTGGGTAGATGGCGTGGTATGAGGGGGGAGGGGACCGAATAGCTGCTTCAAGGTTGCAAACTGAGGAAGTCTCGTCGGGCGTTTGAGTAGCCAATTGTCCTTGGAGACACTCAGTCAGCTGCTTAGGGAAGTCATCTGGAGATTCAACGGTGATCGGAGCATCATTGGCAGACTTTCCTTGAGCTTGAGAAGACATCATGTACTGCAAACACGGCACGAGGTTGTGAAACTGAATAGTAAAGTATCGGTGTCAGATCTCGTGAATGCTACGCAGGAACGATGCTGTGGGTGGTAGATACCAATTTCCTCGGGTGGCAGGAGAAGTAGAGGCTTCTTATATACTTCCATGGAGGGTCGATTTTCAATCAAAGATTCACTTATCTTAGATCGGTTTTCCGCACAGATTTCGACTGATACGGCTATAATCCCATGGTGGGGAGGTGAGGGGTCTTCTCGCTGGCAAGGCATTGTTTGTGGCATTGTTTGGGGCAGTGGCATTGAAGTTCGTGATAAGCCCCGTTTGTATTGTTGCACGGTGCCCGATAATGAAACCTTTAACAGGCAACACCTGCCCAATAGTACGAAGTAGACACGAAGGTAGCGTACAATGATTTCAGAGAAAGTTATCTCTAGGAGGACCATTCATGGCGCAAAGCTGAGGTCTACTGTGAGTATTATTGAAAAGACTTGAATTGCATTTGTCCATCTGTGCTTTGCTTTGTTCGCTTGATCAATTTACCCCCCTCTTCCAATCGACTAACTAGGTCCATTCATTTGCAGTATCAAAGGATTGTCCCTGCTTCCTTCACTTGTTCACGATCAAAGAAAAACAACCACGCAGCAATGTAAACGACAATCAGTCCATGGCAACATATTACCCACATCGTCCAAGCCCCACTTCCTGTGTGCCTCTACCAAATCTCTCAAGCCCCGATACGACCCAAGCAACCTGGGATGCTATAGACGCCGGTGGACCAGAGGTATGCATCGATCGGATACCAAAAAATGGTGACTATCTTCATCAAAAACGAAAATGCCGACAGCCAAAGCAAGACCGGAGGAAAATCCGCGGCATAAGGATCATGGTGGCCGCCATAGCGGTAAATGAGAACAAGTACACCGTGCAGAAATGCCCACATCGACTTGAGGACGGCAAGCAGCCAATGATGAGCATACCAATGGTCGGCTCCCAGCAGACCCAGGCTGCAAGCCAAGCCAAACGCCGTGTCGTGCTGATTTGAGCACTGGTCCTCCAGCGAGCAGTCTTCCTTACTGTTGTTGTCGCGCTTGTTTTGGATGTAGAGGGCGAGGTTCATGAAGACTATGGCCGCGACAAACATTGTGATTGTGCAGATCCTGCACCTGGAGATCCAATTGTTGTATACATCATCTCGGCGACGGAGAGGACGACGGTAAAGTCTGACTTCGTAAATTAGAAATTCAGAGAGGGGTTGTTCTTCGACGTCCATAGCAGCGGCTGGCACCTTGTTGGGAAGGCTACATGGAGGCGAAGTATCGGTGGGTTCATGCTCATAGGCAGGCGGTGGATCCCTCGGAATTTCGAGAGGTTGGGGCGAATCAGTCAGCGCCTCATGAGGGACTGACAAAGCTTCCTCAGAGACCTCAGAAGCTCCGACTGAGGACTGCAAAGTCTCGGTTCGAATCCGGCAGGTCAACGAAGAGTCCATTGAGGATTCCGGAAAGTCAGATTGAGTTGCAAACGAAGAAGTCATGATGCACTGCCCTCAGATGTCGCCCAAGTTGCGTCAAAGTCAAAGTTCCAAGGCCAATGGAAGCAATACTAGTGCTGATAGAAATGGCAAGTCATGTTGAGAGTGGGCGGAGCTTTTATGTTGAGGGGATCGACGTGTCTTCGATGTGAAAACTTGTTCGTATCTGGCGGGAGAAGCGGGTGAAAGCATCTGTCAACTAATGCATCCCAGTAAGAGAGTGGGTCCTTGCCCATCTTGTAAATCACCAAGCATTCCTGGACTTTACATTGCTGGTCAGCATTGCACTTCGCTGGTCTCCTCGTTTGCTGCGACGGAGACTGGATTTGACAGGTTTCATTTGTTGTCTGAAACAATGACTACGGAGACATGGCATAGCCTCGTAACCAGTAGTAAAAAGGGAAGGGCTTTTTCCTGTGACGTGATCTGTAAACGTCGAAGAAGCAATGACTCTCGAAAAATAGCGCATCTTCGAAGACGAAGGACTGATCAAGGATGATTTTTGTTCGGCATTGGGTGAGATATCGATGGGACCTACCGTACCGCGCTCGGACAGACTTGGAATTTTGATAAATCGTCTCAAACCATGCAAAGTGATTGATTACTATGGTATGATCTATTGACCGATAAGCAGGAAGGAAGTCGAGGATTCTGATTCTCTGCGCCGTAGGGCGAGAACGTACCTCGGGCGTCACGATGATGAGTAGGCGTTGAGCTGCGAGGATCTGTCCAGATCGACTGGTGCTTCACTCGGGCACCGCAGGCGTTTGTCAAGCAATCGCATTGGTGCAACCATCCGGTTGAGGGATTTCAAAATCTGGATGTAGAGTGTCGTAGTTCTCCTCACTTGGCGCCATATTTACGAGGCAGTGTTTCGGCGAGCGGCATCGATGAGTCAACGGAGCTGACTGCAAGATCAGCTGCGAGAATACTAGGGAGAGGAAGCAGTTAGTCGGGCAGGATCGAGCGCTCCAGTGCGAGCAACAAACCACACCATTGGCAGCAATGAGACAATGGTCTCTGATCCTTGTCGTTGGCAATTGATGGCAGTGCACCTTTCACATGTGCGAAAAGTAGACCCATAGCTGCTCTGGAGTTGCGAGTAGGCATCCATTCGTTGCTTCTGTAGATCTTCAAAGAGATTGCGCGAAGGAAACCGGATAGGTGATGGATAGAAGCTCTACTCCAGAGAGTGTTGTGTTGTCAGAACTGCGTTAAGGTAGACGGACAACCTTACCGCATTAGTGCCCGCTTAAACTAAGCACGGCAGCACGGCAGCAATACGTACAGTACCCCACTCACCTCCCGCCCGCTAAACACAGCGTTATCGCAAGTGGGGCCTCCACATTCCATAAGTTCTTCTCTCCTCACCCACCACCATCGTCCCTCCTTCCCTCCCTCCCACATCTCACCCTCCCTCTACACCCACCAAAACCCCCCTCACAACCCCACAACAATGCCCCCCCAACCCCCAACAATTCCAGTCCAAATCCTCGACGGCGGCCTGGGCACCACCCTCCAAGACCACCACGCGACAACCTTCAACTCAACCACCACCCCGCTCTGGTCCTCGCACCTCCTGATCTCCTCCCCGCCCACCCTCCTCGCCTGCCAGCGCTCCTTCATCGAAGCCGGCAGCGACGTCCTCCTGACGGCCACCTACCAAGTCTCCATCGAGGGGTTCGCGCGCACCAAGACCCCCGACCACCCCGGCGGGATCCCCCGCGATGCGATCGCGCCGTACATCCGCACGGGCTTGTCCGTCGCAGCCGACGCCGTCCGCGGCTCGAACGCCAAGATCGCGCTGAGCCTGGGCCCTTACGGGGCGTGTATGATCCCCGGACAGGAGTATAGTGGGACGTATGATGCGGAGCATAATGACGAGGAGAGTCTGTTTCGGTGGCATTTGGAGAGGCTGCGGTTGGTTGTGGAGGCGGTGCAGCAAGACGGTGGAAGATTGGAGGACAAGGTGCAGTATGTGGCGTTTGAGACGGTGCCGCGGTTGGATGAGGTGCGCGCGGTGCGCCGGGCGGCGAGGGAGGCCGGATTGGGGGCGATGGGGATTCCGTTCTGGGTGGTTTGCGTCTTCCCCGTCGAGGGGCAGGATGCCTTGCCCGATGGGAGTGCGGTGGAGGCCGTCGTGGAGGCGGCGTTGGGTGGCTCTGAGCCTAAGCCTTGGGGTATTGGGATGAACTGCACCAAGATGCATCGCTTGGGCGGGTTGGTGAAGTTGTTCGGGGAGGGTGTGGAGAAGGTGCTGGGTGAGGAGGGGGCGCAGACGAAGCCTGCGTTGGTGTTGTATCCCGACGGGACGCAGGGGGAGGTTTACAATACCACCACCCAGGTGTGGGAGAAGAAGGTCGAAGGACCTGGTGCCGCCGATTCGGTATGTCTTTCTCTTCCCTCTTTTCATGCTTTTGAATGTGCTTTTGGGGACCTTCAAGTGGCCACACTTGACTTTCGGGAGAACTTCTATGTTGCGCATGTGTACTAACGATGAACAGCGTCCGTGGGAAGTTCAACTCGCGGAGGTCGTCAACGACGCTCGTACTGGCGGCCACTTCAGCTCGATCCTCGTGGGTGGGTGCTGCAAAGCTTCGCATCATGACATCGCCAGGCTCCGACAACAGTTTCAATCATAACCAACCACAACATTTGTACGAACAACTTAAAAGACACTACGCGAAAATGATACCAATTATAGCCGAGTGACACTTGTGTATACTAGGATAGAGCCAAAGTGTTGAAAAAAGTCTAGTGGGTATCACCGTCTAGGTATATACAAGTCTATATACAAGAGCATGTGTATGTACTCAGAAGATCCAGTCGACAAAGCGCTTGAGTGGCGTCTGAGGTCCGTGGTCTTTGACAATGATCTCACCCTCCAAGAGACGACCAGACCAGAGATCCAGGGTAGATGCGCGGACAAACTAAAGCAACCTATTAGCGTCTGCATCACAAAACAAGAGGGATAGTATGGGACTAACCTTGCTTTTCTTGAAGATCTTCCAAAGGATGATTGGCACAATGAAGATCGGGATACCGACATACGAGGCGAAAAAGTCCGAGGTAGACCAGTTCCCCTTGAGGAAGACAGGGAATCCAGCCACAAGAGTAATGATGGTGGATCCGATGAATCCCACCCACGCGGTGTAGGGCTGGAACGGGCCCTGCCAAGGGAGGGTATCGCGACTATGGCCTTGGACCTTCATCGCCCGATGGAAGCGGATATAACAGAAGCTGAGAGTCGCCCAAGCAATTAAGCCGGCGATCGTGCTCAGGTTAAGGAGCCAGGTAAAGGCTTGAGAAGGACCACCACTTCCGAGACCTAAGCAAGTTCTGGGTTAGATGAATAGCTTGACGGTGAAATAGGAAGGATGCGTACTCAGATAGGCCAAAGGACCGAAGAGCCAGGAGACGACCACCGCAATATACGGAACACCTTTCTTAGTGACCTTGCCGAAAAATTGAGGAAGTTGGCGATCGGTGGTCATGGCTACGATCATGCGTGAGCCGACCCAGCAGTAGGAGTTACCAGCTGACCAGGCGGAGATCAAGACACAGGCGTTCACGAGCGAGGGGAGACCACTGATGCCGGCTTGCTTGATGGCAATAACCCAGGGAGAGCTGTTGGCATTTCCAGAGCCGGATGTGAGGCCAGAGGTGCGGGGATCGACGATCATTCCAATGAGCAGGGCTCCGAGGATGTAGAAGAAGGCAATGCGGTAGGTGACGCGACGGGCAGCCTTGGGGATGGCGCGGTGCGGGTCCATAGCTTCGGCGGCGGCAATGACGACAGTCTCGACTCCGACGAAACTGAAAGAGGCGTTGACGAAAGCCGACAAGAATCCCAGGAAGTGCCCAGTTGATCCAGTAATGCCATTGTAGTTGGTCCAGGGACCAGGGTTGTGCCAGTAGCGGAAGCCGATGGTCTCGTGGTTTGGGCCGCCGCCTGCAGTGATCACGATGGCCGCGATCACCAAGCCCAGAAAACACAAGACCTTGATGGCACCTGTCACGACTTCACTCTCGCCATAGAAACGGACACTCATCAGATTGATAATCAAGATCAGTGCCAACCCGACTGTTATCACCACGGCCGGTGTTATGTCTGACCAGTAGCTCACCACGACCGCAGCTGCGGAGACCTCCGAAGCGATGGCGATGGTGTAACAGTATCCGTAAGTGATGGCAAGAGAGAAACCGACGGCGGGATCGATGAACCGAGTAGCCCAGTGGGGGAAGGAGCCTGCAGTAGGAAAGACGGTCGCCAGTTCGGCGATGCTTTGCATGACACACCACAGCACCAACCCCACGACAATATATGCCAACAACAAACCGGCGGGCCCTGATTTCGCATAGGCAGAGCCGGCTCCAACGAAGAGACCAGTTCCAATACCACCGCAGAATCCAATCATGCTGATGTGGTAGTTCTTGAGTCGACGCTGCGTGGCACCACGGCCACCAACGTTAAGCTCCATCTCCCCTTTTACCGGGGGACCATCCTCTTCGCCATAGTAGTTGGGCACCTTCGGATCACCGCTTCCATGATGCTCAATCTTATTCTCCGCAGCGGAGACTGAAGAGTCGTACATCGTTTGCGCCGAAGGTGTGCAGGTGCTCACGGGCAGAGGGAGTCCGGGGGAAAGCTGAAATGTGGGATGAGGGGAAAGGGAAAATGTCTTGGAGAGAAGAACACGGGGGACAATTATATCAATCGACGAAAGGCAGGCGACCAACCGATTGAACTGCGCAGCTTGCCACCGATCAGCCTCGCGCGGAGAACCACTTTTTTTTTCTCCCACCGTCGCCGCAGTGTGCAATCGCCATCACGACATCGGGTACCGGGTTGGCACCATGCCCTTTTGACGCTAAGCGTGCGACCCTCCCCACCGCACGCGTGCCGTTCTATGGTGAGTTTCCGAAGACGGCCTCCACTTGGCCCGCGAGATGGACTGCGATTGAACATGCAAATTAGTCATTCGTGTTGATATCAAGCTTTAAATGACAGGGGTAGAAGAACCAAGGACTTCTTCTGCATTCAAGGCGAGTCCAGGATTGGAGGAGCCATGAGGAGAGTCGGTGTGGCGAAGGCATTACAGTTTTTCGAGAAAAAAAAACCGTGAAAGTTCCCAGTTCCGGATCCGCCCTTTGGATTGTGCAAGGCACGTGTTTTGTATGCCCATTAGTCCTATTATAGCTTAGTGTAGTCTGCGACGGTTCCTTGCAGCCGCTCACTGCAAATCCCGCACTATCAGCTTACGCTTAAAATTCTAGCGTCGTTCGGACCAGAGCCAAGACGGCACTGCTGCTCATCGCTTCTGGAGTCATTGTGCAGTCAAGCAACGCAGGTGTACTTCTTTTGAGGATCATCCACATGAGTTCAACTGTACTGCAATTGCTTCGTATGCTTCAGTCTGGTCTCATACATCATCAGGTCCAGTCTGAACCCGCCGCCTCCGTTTCGGAGAAACCTACTCCGCTTCTCACATAGCTCTTACGTAAAACTCACACAAGCTCGGCGACCAAAGCGTGATTAGCTTCCCTTCGATACGCCGTTCGTGAGAGCAATCAATCAATCAAGCTGGGCAAACATGATAAGAGATGGCCGCTGTTGTGCTGGAAGGCAAATTCGGCCGAGCGAAACGGCTGCCTGAAGAAACGGGATGACTGGTCGTGGTCTAGATCGCTAGGCGCATTGAGTATTGTTCTTCTTCCAATTGATGTCACTCTTTGCCACTGTCAGGTGCGGATGGACCCCAGGGTGGCTCTCATGAGCACATTCCCATGTCAGATCGCGTCATAAGAAGAGAGCGATCACCTGTATAGACATTCTGTACAGTCTTTGGAAGGTGTAAGAAGTCTGATGTGGTGCCAATGTCAGACGGTAGCCTCTCGAGTTCTCAACCATCGACGACTATTGGTTTATCCAGTTGCTCAAGTGGTGTGCATGATAGCTTTGGACGAGTGGTACTATGCAAATATAAGAAACATTGCAAGGGGGAAGTGGTGGTTCAATTCGCTCTTAGTCCATTCCATGGCCTTCGTTCCTTCAGGCAGACTCAGTTGGGCCCGGACTAGTAACGTTGAGTTAACATCGGAACTGCCCAGAAAATGGCCGCTATCAGATCGAATCCTCAGACATGCTGGGTCGACGGGAACTAAGCAGGGCTGATCACCTGATGATCTTGACTGAGAGATGTTCTTTGGAGAATGGCTGTGCAGATTCTCTGTGCTCATTCGCATGGACCACAAAGCACAATTGCCATCATCTCAGGTCCTGGGCTTTACTCTATGCAATTCTTAACAAGCAGCATACTATGCAGCCACTATGATTCCAGCGTCCCCAACAGGTACTTGAGAATCCGTAGCAGATTCAAAACTCGCAGATGGCATCCAAATCAAAAAGAAAGGAGACTCAGATGCTCATTCTCAGACCCCAGCCTTCACCACAGCAAACTAATATACATCACACCAAAACCAAAACCATAGCCTTTTATGAACCCCAACGCCAAACATACAGCACATAGAATACACCTCACCACTCCCGAAAACAAAGAAAAGTAGAGATATCATCACGATCCATCACCACCAGCAACCTCTCCAGCAACATCCTCCCTCATATCACCCATCCGTAATCTTATCATCAAAGTATACTCAATTCTTTCCCCCCTTTTCCTCTCCATCTCCCTTCCCCCAAGTCCAAACATCCCAGATATGGTCCCGAATCAAATCCCCATACCCCTTCCCCTCGTCGAGGGCCTTCTGCTCCTCGCGCAGACGCCGCTCCTTCCACCCCTCGGTCTCCCCACCCATCCACACCCGCTGCAGCACGGGCTTGTCAAACTCCTCGCGGGCCTTCAGCTTGGCCAGCTCCTCCCCCTTGGCCTCCTCGATCTGCCGCTCACGGTCCGCCTTCAGCCGGGCCTGGATCTCCAGCGCGCGCTCGCTGGGGAGCCCATTCCCCAGCGAGGCCAGGGGGTGGCTCCGGCCGGAGGAGATCTTGTCCTCGAGGCGGTCGACGATGCTGCGGCCGGTGCGCTCGCGCGTGAGGTGGTTGGCCGAGATCGAGAAGGCGCTAAGCTGGAGGACGGTCAGGTTGTCGAGCTTGCGCGGCGGGAGGGCGATGAGGATCGGAGAAGCAACCAGGAAAGTCCAGGCAGCGTAGGTCTTGAAGCGCTGGTAGTCGGCTTCCCGTTGGCTTTGGAGGGTGGCTTGCTGTTGTTGTTGTTGCTGATCTGGGGTAGTGGGGGGTTGTGGGGTGGTCATTTTGTTTTTGTTCCGGGGTGGGCGTCGGGTAGTTGAGACGCTTGCTCGTGGGATTCAAGTGTCAAGGAGTAGACGGACGGAGTCTTGGTGTTGATTAGTATCGGACGTTGAATGGCGTTTCGTTTGTTTTCGTGATGAGATTCTTCTTGGATGCAGGACATTGTTTCGAAGATGGAAATTTACGGCGGACTGTTGCGCCAGATGCGCAGACATTAATCATGTGACGTCCAGACATGGTTCAGTTTCACTGATAGTTGCCAGGCCTAGACAACGGGAACAGATATCGATTGCTGCTGACGTTCCTGTATATAAGTTATGATACAGGTCTTTAGTTGACAGTAGAGAACCTTGATTCCTTGAAGAGCCTCGCCCACGTCCCCAATGCAAAACCAACGTGTAAGGTGACCGCATTTTACAAGACTCGTCAATAGCCGCTTCCTGAGCCATCACAATATATCAACAACAACAAATTCCATTTCATCTCCTAGTCTAGGGGCATCCTGCTCATACTAGTTATGTCGCGTTGTTTACCCTAACTGTAAGATTTGAGGAGGTATACGAGGTGATCCCTTGGTTCATGGTATGTGGGGAACATATTACTGATCATAATCTTCATATAGAGTGCTAAGTACAGTACAAAAATTGAGAGGAATGACCCACCACCTCTTTTCGATCGAACATATCAACACTTCTTGATCGGCTTTTCTTATAGCATTGATCCTCGTCATTGATTGCCCAAGAAGCTTCGCATGTTCCTTCAAGCTCACAACAATCGGAGCTTAGATGGATACTGGATGCAATTCCGGAATTAAGAGAGAGATGGTAGGCAGGGGAAGTCGAACCTTTAGATACTAACAGTGCCAGAGCTCATGTACAATGCCATAGTAAAGTAGTTCATTGTTGTGTAGTGTATTGAGTTGTACTGTACCACCCAGCATGAGGACGATATGCTAATTCTAGTATACAAAAAGCAGACATGGCCCACCGGTATTCAATATACAGACCCTCACTCGGTGAGAGGAAACAAGGCCTCTGTACCGATGTCGTCGGAGATTGTAACTTGCTCGTAGTCGACGGCTGCGTTGTCTGGCCTTGTTGCATTTGCTGTCTGCTGATTTTAGTGGATTGCGACCAAGCTTTTGTGGTGCAGGACAGCGGTGGTCGGTTTTTGCAAGAGTTGCAACCCTCTTTGCGAAATCCTGGTTGTTTGTGACATAAGCCATTTTTAGGGTGTTTTTGATAGAACTTTGGCGTGTCTATGAGAAACATGCCTCAATGTTCATAGCATTCGCCATGTTCAAACTGTTCAGAGGGCGAAACGGTCGTGTTGTCTAGCCAATTTGCACTTGCTGCCTGCATAGTGTTTGTGGAGTGCGACCAGTGTTTTTGTGGCAGAGCAGCAGTGGTCGGCTTCTGAAGAGGTTGCAAGCCTCTTCGTGTCCGTTCTCGTCATGGTGATTGCCATGGTTCGGGATCGTTTTGATGACAGACCGTTGTCTTGGTGGGCAGGGCAGCGGTGGTCGACTTCTTAGGAGACAGCAGCCTTCCAGAGTTGGAAAAGTGGATTTCTTGACAGGCAGGGTAAGCTCTAGCTTCATGTTCTGGTCGTTGCTGGCTTTGGACTAACGCCAATCGGTTCAGTGGCGACGAGAATTTTGAGGATGAGGTTTTTGAGATGCAGGGGCTCTGTCCCTGTTCTGGTCAGAGATATCCTTCAACTCAACGTCCTGATAATTACTAACCCTGAAATGATGCCAATTAGGCAGTGGTATCGAGAATCGACGAAGTGGATGCTTCGGCGGGCACGAGGAACGTCCTCCACGTCCACATCCGCATCGTCTTGCATGTCGACCATCTCAACGTCCGGGTCATAAATGACCACGGGCTCAAAGTCATAGGAGAGGCTATGCTCAGATTCTTCGGAATGCACTCTCCGGCAAACGTCTTTCATTCTCATATCCTGGTCATGATTGACCTTGGCGTGACGGAGAATAGACTTGGGTAGGGGCAAGGGGGGTTGCTTGGAGGCTGGATTTCTGTTTTTAGATTCGCCACACACATCTTTCATCTCCACGTCCTGGTCATTGCTGATCTTAAGGATAGATCTGGAGAGGAATGGGGATTGTTTGGAGCGAGAGGAGGTAAAAAAGAAAAAGAGAAGTTGGGGGAGGAAGCGGAGGAATGGGGGTGAGGGACAGAAGACAAGCCAGGAAGTGGAACTTGGGAACTGGAAGTTTAGGGAAAGAGACATCTGAAAAAACATGTTGATTCACCACGGAAGGAACAGGGCCGATATGTGATTACAACGGAAACTTCGTTGTCGGTACTAGAGCTAGGAAGGAACAGCTAGGCATAGCTACCAAGGCCCCAGCCCTAGGTGAAGCAATACTCCCGACAAGCATTTGACCCCTAAGTTAATACAATACCTACACTGTAGTGAATACGCCAGGTTGTTAGAGACACCTACTTATCTGGTTGGAACTTAGATTGATGTACAGTGAATGCTAGCAGCCATTCGGCAAGTGGAAAAGCTCTTCGTTGATCTGTCTCCTGACCAAACTACCAACGGATTGAGTCAGGGAAGGGAAGCAGGGATGTCTGTAGCTTTAGCTTGCAGTCCATCAACAAATACGCCATTGGGGTTCAACACCATACATGAGGAATGAACATGGGTTCTCAGACAAGATAAGAAAAGATACAGGAACTTGAAGCTTGCATAGCTTCACTCACTCCATCGACACATCACACACCCACCAGGGAAGCTCAGGGGCATCTTCCATCTCAACATCAGCATCCCCCATCTCTACATCCGAATCATCCACAACATCAACCATCTCCACATCCACAGGCTCATGATGAAGGGGGAATGGGTGTTCGGGATCCGCAAAGTGAACTTTGCGGGGGGGAAGAAAGGCATCCTTCATCACTCTATCCTGGTCATTGCTGACCTTTAGGATAGACCGAAGGGGGGACTGCTTGAAGGTAGGGACTTCATCCCTAGCCTGAGCAACATCTTTCATCACCACGTCCTGGTCATTGCTGACCTGGGACGGACGCCGGTGGGAGCGGCAGCGTCGGGAATTTGGGGGGTAAGGTTTTTCAGATGCAGGGGCTCTGTCCCTGCCCTGGCCAGGAGAGTTGGGCAGGGACTGGAGGCGATTACCCTGCGTTGTCTGGCCAAAAACATCTCTCATCACCACGTCCTGGTCATTGCTGACCTGGAACGGACGCCGGTGGGAGCGGCAGCGTCGGGAATTTGGGGGGTGAGGTTTTTGAGGAGCAGGGGCTCTGTCCCTGCCCTGGCCAGGAGAGTTAGGCAGGGACTGGAGGCGCATACCCTGCGTTGCCTGGCCGGAAACGTCTCTCATCACCACGTCCTGGTCATTGCTGACCTGGAACGGACGCCGTTGGGAGCGGCAGCGTCGGAAATTTGAATGGCGAGGTTTTTGAGGAGCAGGGGCTCTGTCCCCGCCCTGGCCAGCAGATTTGGGCAGGGACTGGAGTCGGGTACCCCGCGTTGTCTGGCCGTTTTGCTGTTGCTGTCTGTATGTTTGTGGACTGCGACCATTTTTTTGGTGGACAGAACAGCGGTGGTCGTCTTTGGAAGAGGTCGCAACTCTCTTCGTGTCCGTTATGTTCATGGGGATTGCCATGCTTCGGGACACAGATAGAACTTTTTTCGTGTTCTATGAGGATCAGGATAATACGGATTTGGAGTTCAGGTTTTGAAAGCAACGCGAGTACTTGAAAGCAGATTTTTAAAAGCAAGAACAGTTTTTTTTTGAGACTCCTTTTTTTGTTTTTGGGTAGTCTGGAGAGAGAAGGAGAAGGGAAGAAAGATCGAGCAGAACAGCGAGGGGACGAGCTGGTTTTGCTCGGCCGCGCTACCATTTCGATGTCATGATGCTTCCAAGCTGATTCCGCTACTGAAGTGAAGATTCTGATAAGATTTCCTCAAGGATGACAGCCAGATGCAACCCTGTAGCCATAGTACCCTTGCAGAAAGCTTAGCACAGAGTCTAGCACAGTCCGGGGGTGACCCAAGATCACCCCAGCTGCGGCTTGCGATTCAGATCGAGCCAATCCGCGAGACAGCCACTGCAGTGATATCGCAATTAAGCTTCCAGGTACGATCGGATTGCGTATGGGGAGTCTCGTCGGAACTTCCGGTCCAATAACGGAAGCACTATCTGGCAGCAGGACTATCATCTTGTTAGGTCTGGCTAGACAATTGTGCCCCACTGCGATTGGGAGAAGTGGTCGTGCGATTGGATTGGGAAGTGCTTTCCGATGCTATCATCGGTCATGAGACTCTATTGCTTTGATCCTTTTTCTGGGTTGCTTAGTAGGACCTCCAGGAGATGGTGCACTGCCGGTTGAGGTCATACTGTCTCGTTTGCGCTTCTCTGCTTTAGCATTGCTGCGTTTTTTGCGTTGCTCGTCTCGAATAGCCAGCCTTCGTTGCACCTCCTCAGAGATGTCCTCCGTGTCAATTGACACCGGAGTTATGCTCTTAACGTCATCCTCACCCCCAGGCAGCACCTTCATTAAGCGCTTGCGCTTGTGATGACGGGCTGGGTCAGCAAAAGCCGACATATTCTCTGCATGTGGTACTGCAGCATTAATCTCCTCGTCCCGTTCGCTCGCTTCTGCGCGTGCCCGTTTCACCCGATCTCTTGCCCGAAGGCCATTTCCAGACGAATCACTCGTCCGACGAGGAGATGACGGATCTGAGCCAGAGTTCGAATGCAAGGTTTTCTCAGCATTTAGATTTTCTATCACAGAGTCAGATTCATCCTCGATGATCCATGGCTTCGACTGGAAAATTTTCCTGCAGAGAAAACTTTCGCAGCACGGAGGAAGCAACGTGACTTACTGGAACCCTATGCCGGCGTGTTAGCACCATGTCAACACCACCCAACCTTGCGATGGGAAGAAGCAAACAAACAACTCACAAATTTGCCTTTGATGATCTTGAACTGCATCATCAGTTTTTTCGTCCGTTCCAGCATGTTGGTAACCAACCGCGACGCATCGCCATTGGACGGAACTTCGCCCTGGACCTGCTGTAGCAGCGCTAGGTGTGATACCAGCAGCGACTCATGCTGGGCGCAAACCTAAACGACCCAAAAGGTTAGTTTTCACATGTCAAATGCAGCAACAACGTACAATGCAGCCGGGTAGAATGACCAGCATCTGTGGTCATTTTCGGGAAAGCTTTTTTACACACCTCAGCCCATGACAATTGCTGCTGCGCGGCGTTGACATTGCCGCTACCACTACCCAAACTAGATCTACTCTCATCTTCTACCTCCTCTACAGTGGGATTCATGGGGGGTGGTGGGTGACTCGATAATGGCATTGCGACAGGATCTGAACCAAGGAGTGAAGTTGGATTAAGAGCGCGGGGAGATCTTTTTGTTGATCGGCCCGAGAATGCTGCTCATCTCTTGGCATTTCCAGCCCGCTATTTTTAGGAACTCCCCCTTCCCACATGGTTAATGGAGATCATCTGGGGAGGTTCCAGAGATTCCTTGTAATCTCCGTCATCATCTGTTTTTATCGCCGTTGGAGGCGGTTTGTCGGTTACAATATAGGCTGGGCCATGTCCTCTGCGTATCTTTCGGCCTGACGTAACGGCTATGACTCGATTTAGGGTAACCGCGCTGTAAGCCCGGATTACAATCCACCCACTTAGAATTCGAGATCATACTCAATGCTTTACCTTCATACTCTATGCTATACCTTTTCTCAAACATGTGATTATGATTAGCATCTCATTGAAAGTTCCATAGAGCTTCCTTATCACTTTCTAGTTCTTCCTACTATCAACCCCATATCCGACCTGTACAACTAGACTCCATAACTCTCGAGACAAGTAGCAATGGTGCACTTCTCAGTAGTTTCAGCCAGGATTACACATCACTTACTCATAAAGACGTGGACGGTAATTTATTTCAATCTCATTGAGTTCACCCTGCGTTCGTATTCGCACATCGTCACCTATCAAAATCTCCTCGCAGTGTCCCGCAAAAAGAGCCTTCAATTCTCCCCTCCCCCACACCACCAGACTCTGAGCTCCTTCTTCCATAAGAATTGGCCAGCCTAGGACTCCCAGTTCCTCTCATTTTTGACACTGGATTAGTCGGTATAATTCTGGGTTGTAGGGTTGAACGATTATACCTTCCTACTCGACAATCTGGACGCCGGCCTAGGTGCTTATCAATCAGATACCAAGCGCATGCTTTAGTTTTAGCTCAAGTCTTCCTTATCATAGATATGTTGAAGAATTGAGATCGTAGGCGTACTTGTAAGAACAATCGACTGAGCGCGGTTGTGATTGTAAGACGCGGGGCCATGCTCTGTCTGGGAATATGCGACATCGGCACTCAACGGTTTGCTCGAATCCCATAGTTAGGCAACATGACCAAGTTTCTAGAGACACAATGTTGTTGTATGTGATAGGGCTAGTGTTTATATCTAGGTTCTAAGTATTTTCATATCACGGCCAACAATAAGCAGCATTCAAAGTCCTTCTTGGAAATGAGGAATCAGAGTCGAGTGTTGATACTGGGCTCCTTGAGGGCAAGCTTTGATATAGCTGCATCATGTCACATTGATCGAGAATCATGTCCAAGAAGGACAATACAATGATGTGATATCAGGTCAAGGAAGCGACACAAAACCTCAATCAGCAGGGTAGCCTAGCCTGTCGGACAGCCATGGCAATGACACTTACACCTCATCTCCGGACTCAGAGCGCTCCTTCGATTGATTGCCATGCTCTTGACCGGATACTTGGTCACCCTCCCTCGTTTGCTTCGTGCGCTTCTCCCACTTGAAAGCAAAATGTATAGTGATGAAAAGAATAGCTGCTAATATCGAGAGAGCCAGGTACAATTTTGCGCCAATGCGCCAGTGAGGTGCTTCCTCGGCTGGGTAGGCGGCAATGGGAAGAAATGCGCTGAGGAGATATGAGAAAAGTGTGCCGGTGGCGAATAAAACTGTTCGGACTTGAGGTTCTGTCTCGAGATGCGCAGTTGCCCATGCGCATAGCAGCATTGTGGAGACGCTGGATTTCTCCCCAGTCAGTTTTTAGCCGGTTTCGGGTGTCAGGGCGGGAAAAAGGATCAATTGCTGTCCCCTGTTGATTCACTTACGCTCCGATGTAGTTCATGTACCATCCAACCATGTAAGCAGACTCGCTACTCGGGTGAATGACCAGAATTATGAGAGAGGTAATGTTAATTACCTATCTCAAAATTAGTGTTTTACATGGCGATAATATGAGAGATCTCTCTCGGGGAGGTGCTCACGGCATGCAAAAGCAGAAACGGAAGTCTGGTGCCGAAGAAATCGCTGAAACCACTGAAGAGGATCTCCGCGACGAGTTGAATCGCTTGACCAATAATGGGCAGATAATTGAGCATAGCAACTGAGCTAAAGTCAGGGAGTTAGCAAATGAAGCATTAATGGGGTGATGAGTTGGTTTACTATTTTTTCGTTCCATCGGTGTTGGTCAAGGATTTGAGCCAAAGATTGAAATAGTTCGTTGGGGTCGTCCCCGTGCCAATGCACCATGCAACTGAGACTTAATCAGCTTCCTTGCTATCGTGTGTAGATATCCTGAAGAAAATACTAGAGAATAGCCAAAGATGCCAGAACCTCAAGGCGCGAAGGAAGGTTTTGGGCGTGATCCCAACTTGAGGGCTCCGGCCGACACGACGCGTGCGCGCAAGAGCAGTTTCTATGCACATATCAGGTTGTCGGTCTTCCAGGAGATACCATGTAGACTAGCTCACCGATGTGTTGGGACTTGAGATAAATCTTGGAGAGCGGATTTTGTCTTTCCGGCTGTTGATAATGTTAGTGGTAAATAGGCAATCCGGAGGTAAGGTTGCGTACGAATCCAGGCACTGCTACATAGGCCAGAAGTGCAACCGTGATTGTGCATATTCCCTGTTCAGCGAACGCGTTTAGTCTCACTAGCATAAATGACACGAGTTTAAACTCACATTGATTATGAACGCCCATTGCCAGCCGCTTCTTCCAAGCGTGCCGTTCAGATTTGTGGAGAGTGCACCTTGCAGTGCTCCGGAAAGCATAGCACCGACCGGTTGGGCCATGTTGTAAAGACTCATGCGCAATGCCATCTCATGCGGAAGATACCATTGACTAGGAGTGATTGCCTCAGTATTCGTGTAGGCTAATGAGGTAGAAAGAGCATACCTGATGATAGTAAAGTATCCCGGCCAGGTAGCGCCTTCACAAAACCCAATGAGGAAGCGAAGGCCATAGACCTTGTTCTGTTAGACTTTCAACCAATCCTGGAAATTACATCTTGGGCATGAGCTGTTACCTGCTTTGCAGACGTGGCAGTGGACAAACAGCACGTAAAGATCCCCCAAAGAACCTAATTCCTTACATTAACTCGCTGCAAGTAAGCTGCGCCCGAAGGATCATCCCTGACCTCACATGTAGGCAACCAAATCGCTGGTCCTACATGAGAAATTATAATGCATGAGGGATAAAGCATTATCATGTAGCCGATGCTAAATCCGATCAGCATGGGTCAATCAGTGTAGAGAAAATACTCACTTGAAAAACGTGGTGAAATAATTTAGCTCGTTTCCATAAAGCTTTAGGTCTGTTTGCATGCCGGAAACATATGCATTGCTCTGATCAATTGTTCTTAGCTTTGGCCCTGATCTTAGCG